CAGAGATGATTGAGAATGGATAGCTTGGGCCCTGCTCCTCCTGGGGCACTCTCCTGGGTTACCTCTTGGACGTAGAATGGTACCCATCTGTCTCCAAAGTCCCTCTAGGAACCTTGGATGATTCAGTTAAGGTGATGGAAAAATTACCTGCCAGCCTGCCAACCCCTCACTGCTACAGGCTGAGTCCAGCTACTTTCTTGTCCTCAGCCACCCTATCTACCAGCAGGTGTGACTCAAACCTGCCCATTCAGCCACTCATTCATTCATAAATTCACTGAGTCATACGATACATTGTAGGCAGAGTTTCTGTGTCCTGGCAGCTGGCTCCTAAACAACCACTCAGAGACTATTTTAGTAATTATAAATTACTAATAGCCCAGGCCTGTTACTAGTTAACTCCTACATTTTAAATTAAACCATATTCCTTATCTACCCTATGCCATGTGGCAGTACCTTCTTTCAATAGGGCACATTCATCTTGCTTCTCTCTGCATCTCCTCGTGACTCCTCTCCTTCTTCCCAAAGTTCTTAGTCTGGTTCTCCTGCCTCACCTTATCGTGCCTAGTAATAGATCAGTCAGCTTCTTCTCCTCCTCCTCCTCCTCCAATTTATTTATTATGTATAAAATGTTCTGTCTGCATGTATGATTGCACACCAGAAAAGGGCACCAGATCTCATTACAGATGGTTGTGAGCCACCATGGGGTTGCTGGGAATTGAACTCAGCACTGGCTCTTAACCTCTGAGCCATCTCTCCAGCCCCACCAGTCAGCTTCTTCATTAAATCAATTGCAGTGACATCTATTCACACAGTGTAAAGAAATACTCCACAACGATTTGTGTCTTTATCACAACTAGCCTATCCTTTTCAGTTTCTTCTAGCAACCCTTGGAAGGCAGAAAGGAATTTCATCTGGTGAGGGCAGGAGGTGAGAGGGAGAGGAGAGGCCGAGCACCTCCTATGATGATGAACTGGTATCCCACCCCCACCCCCACCCCGAGCATTGTCATTATGGGTCTAAAGCCCCAGGATCCAAACACCTCCCTCCAGATCTTCCAATGACTTCCCAGCCACAATCTTTGGGGATGCTTCCAAGCTAGAGCAGATACAGATGGGAATGGGTTCAGGGACCTTCCTGCGGGTCATATCCTTCTAAGACATCAGTCCAGAAGCAGGAGAATTTGAGGTCCTCCAACATGTTCTGGCTTCAAGAAGGAAGGGGACAACTTGGACTAGAGCTCTGCCACCCCCACCCCCCATTAGCCTAGGCAGGCAGGACTCAAGACAAGCTACCTGTCCACTGGCTGCTTGGGAACGCACAGAGCCAAGAACTCTTCAGGAGATGTGGAACAGAATGCTTGAGGTGGGTATTCCTGAGCCGGAGACAGAGGCCAGCACTATACCAGGCTCTAGACAGGGGAAAGATGCAAAGCTGATTTCTGCCTAGAGACCTACTGCCATGGAAGTCATTCTGCATGAGGCTATTAGGTGTGGCTTTGTTGGAGTGCATATGGCCTTGTTGGAGGAAATGTGTCATTGCAGGGGTGGGCTTTGAGGCTTCCTATGCTCAGGATACTGCCTAGTGAGTCAGTTGACCTTCTGTTGTCTGCAAGATATAGATATAGGACTCTTAGTTATTCCAGCACCATGTCTGACTGTAGGCTGCCATGTTCCCAGTCATGATGATAATGGACTGAACCTTAACTAAGACAGATTGTCATTCAATGTTAGGTGATGAGGAGGCCTGAATTCTCCATATTTTCCATATTCTTCCTGAGGACTCAGCTTACTTTCTAGTCACTTTGTTTTTTAGTCTGCCATATTCAGAGTAAGGCTCAGCATCCTTTGAATGAGGACGAGGGCCCTAGGCTACCTCCACATTGTTGCTCTTAGAACACAGTTTCTTTTGACTCCACACATGGTCTCTGTTGGGCTTTGTATGTGGGATCAAGGTCAGAATTCCAATGAGGGGGTTAAGACAATTTTAAGTGAATAAAGAAATGTGCAAATGTTAATCCCAGCAGAGGATCCTTACAGCCTGGCCCTAAGCAGAACTGACACTCTCATCAGCTGGGCCCAGATAGCAGCCTATCCCCTCTGCCCTGATAGGCATGGGTAGCACTCCTACCTGGAAACCATTATCACAACCAGGCAACCTTGGCTGAAGGTAGGGTTGGGTCTGGAGTTCTGGGTTGAACCTTTTAGTCTTAGTCAAAGGCTTGAGAATCACAGTGGTAGCCTCAGCCGACTGTCCTGTGACCCAGAGTCCCCTTCTGGTTAACATAAGGACAACCTCACTTGTTTCTCCTACACTTGGCAAGACTTCAGTGATGTTTCTGGTATTCCTGTGCACTGGGCACGGCCTTGCAGTGGCTCATGCTCAGGGCGGTGTCTTCCCTGAATCTCAGCAAGGATGCTGTGAAGGCTGGACACAGCAAGACTGTACTGAGCATCAGACTCACTCATCCTTTTGTCATGAACTGGGACTCCCTCTGGGCCCTGACCCTTAAGCGTTGTTTGTTGAAGGAGGTGGCAGACCATCAACTACAGCTTTTGTGGCCCAATACCCTACTCATGGCTACTGGGAGCTGGATAAACCAGGAGGGGTGGGACAGAAATGCAGATGGCCATAAGGCCAGGCACAAGCAATGTCAGTGGAGAACCAGCAAGGTTTACAACACTAGCCTGTTGGGAACCATTTCATAATTCTAAAGACCCCCAGAGTCTACATGTTCCCCACCACTGGAGGCTGTTTGCTACCCACTGGATCCCACTAAGTCCATAAACCCCAGCTTCAGGTCTAGGGCAGTACTGAAAACTTGGGCCCATCTGAATATTACTCAACATGATCAAGGAGCTCTACCATGCCCTGAACTGGGAATACTGAGCAGCTTTGAAGTGAAAAATCTCTGCATCTATTCAGGCTGCTCATTTTTTTTTTTTTTTTTTTTTTTTTTAAAGAGCTGAACACTAAAAATAGCAGCAACACATAGGAAATGGGAGTCATTAAACAAGGGAATGACAGAATGAAGCTTGCAGCTTTCAGGGTCAGATTAAAGGGGATAATGGTTGGTGTCAAGTATCACCTATGGTGGGTGGAGGGTGAGCAGTGCCTCCCATCCCCAACTCAAGACTGTGGGCCTGCACTGGGCTAGGCTGAGTGGCAAGGAGGGAGGGCTAAGTCTGCTGAACTGGGGCTCTGAGCACCAGCTGATATGGTAATGGGACCAGGGCCATCATGGTGTTCTGGGCAGCAGTAGCAAACTTCTAGCTTCATGGGACTGGAGCTGGGTCCACTTGGCATCCACTCTAGTGGTGGTGCCTAGGATTCCAACACTTGTTTCCAGCGTCCTTCGAGCAGTGACTACAGCTAAAAGAATAACATCTTCCCCTGCAGAAGAGCCATGAACTGACTAAAGTGATATGGTAGACCTGAAATGGCTCAGCTCATGGGAACAAAAAACAACCTCTATAACATATGTGCACTTTAACTGGTCACTAGACTGGCAGGGAATGGCCCCTTCTCAGGCCTCCATCCTGACGTGGGTTTAGATCTCATTGCCTGAATTAACTAGCAGCCATCTTACCACCTCTTATCTGCTCTTGCTTTGTGAGACCAGCCAAATGCAAACCCTCATTTCTGCAAGTCAAGAGCAATGGACAGGTTCAGCAGCTAGTGGATCTGAAGCTTCAGCCAAACATACACAAGATAACTTGTACCCATGGAAATGCCACTGGGACGTCACAGACAAGTTCTCTTACATACACATCTGTTACAATCAAAGGGCTACCATGCCCTACAGGACTCGCACATCTACCTGGGTCCCAGCTGGCATCATACTGATTTGATGACTTACATTCTAGTTAAAGAGGCCACACAGGCATGTGGCAAGTGGTCTGCCAACAAGATGATTCTTTGGGCCCCTGTGGACAGATGCTACTTACAGATCTCCAGAGGAAGATGAATTAGTCATGTTTGCCTGAAGTCACCCATCCATGAACTGTAACCCAAAAGCCCCATGGCGAAGTCCATCTACCTGTGATGGGAGCAGCTGAAGAAATTACACTGTATAATAATGCAAAGTTCTTGCTCTAATCCTGCTCAGTTTCAGGACAATCCAATGGGGTAGAGGAATCTCAGTCTTGACGGCAAAAGGGGCTCTGAGTTCTGCATCTGTGTGGATCCAATTTGACATGACTGCAGCCACAGTGAGGTGTCGGTCATGACAAGTGAACATGGTTGGCTTTCCCTGCACAGTTCCCCAGCAAATTACAAACAGAACAGATCATCATAGTGATTTACAAGCAGACCCTGGTACCAGTAATGTGTCTGACTTTCACATTAACTTAAGATAAACCCGGGACATCCTGGTTTGGTTAGTGTCACCCTAATTAATACATACTTATATGCTTCAGACTCAAATCCTGGGGTTTGGGGGTCTTGTTGCTTTCTTTTATTGAGTCCCCAATAAACAGCACTGCAGTTATGGTTGTCGGTCTGCTTGCTGGACTGTTCTCAAGCAGTGTTCCTCACTCCAAACTGTACCCTGACCATAGATGGTTAGCCCAAGGGATAACCTCCCGTCCCATGGCTTTGTTTTGCCTACATAGTGACAAAGGTCTAACATTGTGCTCACACTCACCCCAGCATTTCTTTTGTCATTCCTTAGAGAATGAGTGAAATCCAGCCATGAAAGCAAGTGTGTTAGTGTAACATGACATAACTCTGCAGCCCCTGGCAGGTGGATGTGTGCTAACCTTCCACGAACTCTAGTTATGAGCTGAGATGAAGAACGGCAGCATTTTGGAAGGCCTTGGGAAAGACCCAATTCTAGAATTTTCCTTTAGCAAAGTGTTCTGAGAAGATACAGTATCAATGCTGGCCACAGTGGTCTTTGCAGCCAATTCTTGGTCAACTTCAAGACCCTCTAATCCACCATGGGTAAAAACTGAGGAACAAACAGGTTACCAGGTACCAGATAAGAAGTGCTTTTCAAGCCAGAGACTGCACCAGCCATCAGAAAATAGTTTAATTATGTACAGATGATTGGCAAACTCATCAGAGTGGGTGTGGATGCACCCCCAGATTTGAAGAAGTGACAGGAGAGCAGTGCCAGCGACATGTACCATTCAAGAGGTAACAGTCACCAGACACCAAGTAAACCACAAACTGTGACAGCTGTGGAAGGAGTATAAATCAACACTTTTCCTCTGGGACAAGAAAAAGAAAAACAAAACAACAAATATCAGATCTGAGGAATGCTTTCTCTCCCAGCCATGGAATGGTATTTGTCCATGATGAATGCAGGATGGCTGGGAGTAGATGGTCCAGGCCACTGGGGCCAAATCTATCACCTGCCACACCTGCTATGGTCCCATTTGTGCATCAGTCAGGTCAGCAGCATTCAGGCTTCACGAGCAGCTCCTGCAGCCATAGCAATCCCTGGCCTCAGAAGAGGGGCCTCGAGCCCTGGTTCTCAAACTCAGACCATGCATCGTTCAGCTCCATGAAGATCATCTTGGCATACTGTTCATATGGTTGCCCTGTGGCCTGTGGGCAACAGAGGGAGAGCCAGGCTGACCACCAGCTCCTTCCATGTGACACAGCCAGCAGGCAGAAGGACCCCAGAGGACGAGAGGCAGAGACAATCCAACCACAAGTACAGGGTCCAGAAGCCCAAGGCCTAGTGTTCTGGGAGCTGCCCCACCACACACCTACCTTATCCGGATGCACTACCAGAACTGCACGGCGGTATTGCTTCTTCACCTGCTCTGGGGTCACCAGGTCAGCCATACTCACAGGTGTCCAGCGGCTTTCCCCATCCCACAGTACCGTGTGCAGCGTGGACAGAAGTGCACGGATGTTCCTCTCCTTGCCTTCAATCCACTCCAAAAGCTACAGACACCAGTGAACATAGAACCTCATGAAAGAGCTGTAACTGAGGAGCCCTCCCTCCCTGCTGTGTGGAGTGTGGGTGGGAACATGAAGGGAAGCAGCAAAGCAAGTACTGAGGGCTGTTCAGATGCTGGAGAGGGCGGGTGCATCATTTCAACGGTTCCGGTCCTCTCGGGGAACACTACCTGCAGGCTTGGGGAACAAGCTTCTGTGGAGGCCCCTTAAGAACAAGCTTTGGTACCTCTCTGTTTATCCCTATACAAGAGCAGGGAAGCCATGGCTTCGCCCTACTCCCCACCACCCAGAAAGACCCCAACCTCGCCCTCTGTTCCAGCACTGGGCCCACCTGAGACCATACAGACCAGGTGGGTCAAGTGAGAGCACCTTGTGGAAGAGAAGGTACTCTCAGGACAGAACTGAGACTCTTCAGCCAGATGCAAAGACAAAGCCCTAATCCTTCAGTACAGCCTCCTGATCCATGCACAAGGTTCAAAGAGGACAACTGGGTCCCTGGCAACCTTTCAGGTAGCTCTTAAGGGAATGGCTACACTGTGCCCTAAAGAACTTTAAGAAATGGATGCCTCTAAGATCTACAGTGGAACAACCTGACCATTGCGCTATGCTGATTCCTTCTTATTCCACAGTGAGTGCTCCAGGTCAGGACCAAAACCCAAACAAAATTGCTGTCCTCAAAAGTCAAATGAGTAGGGTGGTGATGGCACATTAGTGCACGCCTTTAATCCCAGCACTCGGGAGTCAGAGGCAGGCAGATCTCTGAGTTTGTGGCCAGCCTGGTTCTACAGAGCGAGTTCCAGGACAGCCAGAGCTGTTACACAGAGAAACCCTGTCTTGAAAAACAAGTCAAATAACCCTTGGTTTGGATGGGTACTCTGGGGTATGCCCTCTTGCTAACTCAAGGTCAAGGTCAATCATCACCAGAGTACCAGAAGCCCCATGTGGTGCCTGCACCCCTCACTGATCCCCAGGGCCCACGAAGAGCACTGTGAAATGCAAACACTAAGTGTATATCAGATTGCCCAGGAGTATGGCTACATGGAGGTCCTGGTTCTGCTCTACCCTAGGGGCCCCCAGGTGCTAGTCTGTCTGGAAACATTGGACTTCACAGTATAGTCTGCGCCCTGGGGGTACCCACCTTCAACTTCAATGGGTCTGTGTCTCTGGCAAGGTCCTGTTTCCGCATCTCTGCCATGGTCTTTGGCCCTTTCTTGTCAGACTTGGAGAAGCCTTGATTAGGCAGCAGGTCTTCAAAATCATTTTCTGAGACCTTCGGCTTTTGGGCTGGGGAAAAAAAAATAGATACTTTTTATAAACACTCTGCCTGCTTTTACTTTTCTCCCTGTTATGATCTGTCCCGATACCTGGACAAAAAAGAAGAAAAACATAGCTTCAGGGCTATCTGTTAAGGTCCATTGAGAATTGGGAGGAGAAGGGCTAGGCCTGCAGAGATGCCTGACGACTCAAGCACACAAATCCAAATCTGCTTTCTTGGTGCAGCCTCAGTGAGCAACATAAATAGTCTTAGCTGGCTCTGAGGGGAGGAATAAGGCACTCTATCCACAAACCTGTAGGTAGTTGTGTAAATCACCAGGCAGACACAGGACTTACCAAAGCTGGGCACACGGACACCCCTCTCCTCTCGAGCTCCGATCACACTGAAGTGAGACCTTGGCTGTTCAGAGGCTCTGGGGGCTGGCTTGGCCGGGGGGGTCCATGAGGTTCCAGGGGCCATGGGACGACTTGTCTGCCAGGAGCTGCTGCTTTTGGGAGTGGAGGCTGATGTGGCAACAAAGCCTCCTGGAGGAAGTCCAGCAGGTAGGCCTAGGGAGACACCACAGGACACTTCTAAGTCACTTAGCCAAATGATGAGTTGCTTCTTCTGTGGCTGAGGAGACTGAGTTGCTGGGACATATGCTCACAAAACAAACTGCTGTTACTTAGTTGATCTATTCTACCCAAAAAGTAGAGGGTCCTGAGTAGCCAGGGACACTCAAGTGTTGTGTTGCTCAAGCACTTTCTGAATCAAGACTAGATGCCAGGATATGATAAATGGTATCCTGGTTCCCCCATCTGCCGGATGGTCTAGGGGGCTATCCCTTTGTGTGGACACTTCCTCACAAAGCTTCGCAAATGTGTGGCTGATTCTTCAACTTTCTGTGAAATAATTGAACTCACAGAAATTTCAAGACTCATACCAAGTCTAGAGTACCTTCACATAATATCCCCAGCCATGAAGTTCCCCTGTGATGGTTATTGTCACTTTGCCAATATCTAACATCACCCAGGAGATGACCTCTGGGCAAGTCTGTGGGGGATTATCTGCTCCCCCTCGCCCAGAGACACGGTTTCTCTGTATAGCCCTGGCTGACTTAGGACTCTCTCTGTAGACCAGGCTGGCCTCAAATTCAAAGACCTGCCTGCCTCTGCCTCCCAAGTGCTGGGATTAAAGGTGTGCACCACCCCGCCAGTGTGGAGGATTAGCTTAATGATTTCAATTGGTATGGGAAAATCCATCTTAATTGTGAGTGAGATCATTCTGTGGGCAGGGGATCCTAGGCTGTATGGAGCAGAGAAGGTAAGCTAAGTATTAGCATGCATGCATTCATCTTTCTCTGTTTCTGACTGTAAATGTGATGTGATCAGTTGATTCAAACTTCTGCTGCCTTTTTTATTGCCAAGGAATATTTCACAGTATAAAAGGGGCCGCTGTTTGCTTAACCTTCTTCCACAAAAGAACATCCATTTAGAGTTTATTCTCTTGGCTATTGCAAACAGTTCTCTGAACACTTGTTTGATTTTTGTAGAATTATAGGCTCATTTCTTTGTGATAAACACTGGGGTCCTATGGTGTCTGCACATTTACTTTTTAAAGAAAACGACAAGAAAGGGCTGTATCATTTCACATTCTTACAAGTGTGTATATATACAAAATAAACCCAGTTTCTAAGATCTTTGGTGATGTGTGGCTGCTGCCTAAATCTTCTAGCAGATGATGACTCAACACAGTCTTATGTGTTTATTGGCTCATTTCTCTGCCAGATTACCCTTTGTCTTTCCATTCCATTTATATATCCTATATAAGAGTCCTTTGTCAAATAGTTTTGAAATGTTTTCTTCCCACATTTTTCCGCCTTTCTACAGCTGAAGATCTGTGCTTTCCTCTGTTAGTGGAGCTGCTCTGCAATAGGCTGTGAGGCTCAGTATATAGCCAAGGCTCCTTCTCTTGCCTGTAGAAGTCCAATGGCTCTAGCTCCATCTGTTAAAACTTTCACACCTCTGCCTTCCCTGGGTGTGCACCTGGATGCTCTCTTCCAATCCGTGTACTAGTGCCTGGCGATTGGTGTTGATCAGTCTTGGTTTCTGTGGCCCGAAAGTGTACCTCAAAGTCAGGGTGGAGCTTCTCTACTACTCTCAATTACAAGCCCCAAACATTCCAGTGTAGCTGCTTTCCCAAATAAATGTACAATGAACTTGGCTTCTACAAAAGTCTTTGTAGAAAGAACATTAGACCTACAGAGCAATTAATACAAGGCAAAGGAACACCTTTGCTGAGCCAATCTTGTGATCTACAAACATTTGGTTTCTATCAATCTCAACTGCCATGTTTGTATTGTAGTTTCACCACAATGGCACTAAGTGTTTCCTTATGTTTGTAGTAAAAGGCTCTTTTGTTGCTGTTTTGAGTCAGGATCTCATGTTGCCAATGTCTGAACTCCTGATCCTTCAACCCCAGCTTCCTGAGTGCTGGAATTACAGCTATAAGTAAGCCCCTACCTCTGCCTGGTCTGAAAGCTTTGCAAACATCAACTATACACAGTGTTGTATAGTTGTATAATTTTGATCTCCTTGAGCTATTCCTAGTAAACCTAACTGCAACAGACCACTGTTCTGTGATCTTAGGTATTGTGAACTTATAACTGTAAAGTTCTAAGCTTTGTAGATGTCCACTTACAAATAGGAACAACTTCATTTTTTCCCTTCTATCATATGCAATTTCCACTTCTTTTTCTTGCCTCAAGTTGGTAGCTGGGTCTCCCAGCAAGTAGAATGTTAATGGGCCATCTGTCTTGCTCCTGGGTTCAGGAGTCCTGCCAAGCTTGCCATATCTGATACAGTTTGTGTGCCTGCTCTGAAGAAACACTCATTTGCAGCTGTGTTTTTTTTTTTTTTTTTTTTTTTTTTTTTTTTTTTTTTTTTGTTTTTTTTTTTTTTTTTTTGCTTGTTTTTTTTTTTTTTCAAGACTGTGTTTCTCTGTATATCAAACAGCCTTGGCTGTCCTGGAACTCACTCTGAGTTCAGGCTGGCCTTGAACTCAGAGATCTGCCTGCCTCTGCCTCCTGAATGCTGGGGCTAAAGGTATGCTCAACCACCTCCTAGCTGCTGCTGGGTTCTAAAAATCAGAAGCACTGGTAAGAGCATGTCATTGTTCTGGCTCTTTATCTGTTTATCTGGCTGATAAACACAGCAGATGCCTGGAAAGGCAAATCAGACTGGTGCTCCCTGAATATGCCTCACTTGGTGGGAGTTGCTGCCCTTTAATCCTTTGAAAAATTCTGTGCCCTAATGTTCTAAGGGTCTATGTCTGTTCTTGAGGGGATTGGCTTGAGGCTTTCTTTCCTGAATTGTCTGATTTGGCATGTGTACTTTGGAAAGTCAGTTTCCTCTCTTCTAAGATTTCTAAGAGATTATGTGGAATTGGTCATATAAACATTTGGTAAAATTCTCCAGTGAACTCACCAGAGCCTGGGGATTTCCCTTTTCTGAGGAATCTATTATGAAATAGTAGAACGTGAAATGAGCCTCTTGGCACATAGGGCTGGCCCCTCATTACCTTGGAGGCTAGAGCTGAGATCACTGAGATCAGCAAATGGGTCTCGGCTCTGAGACTTGGTTTGGCTAGGGTGGGAACCCGTAGGGGCCGGGTGACTTCCAGAAGAGAAGAGGGTACCTGGAAAAAGGATAAAGGCCATTAGACTTAAAGGCCATTAGACTTGTACAGCATAGAATGAAACAGTCTTCCAAAGTCCCTGATCCTCCCTTTCAGTACCAAAGGCCCTACTCAAGGTTTGGTAATTCTTTGAGGACAGTGGGAGAAACACAGCACACACCTGGCAGGGTGGCTGGCTCCAGTATCCATACTGCTTCTCATGGAAATGTCTGAACATTTGGTACTAAAAACCAGAAAATGTCCTCATTGTTTTGACTTCATAGTACCACTTGCTATATCCTATCTAAAATGTGACTGTTCTTTAAGATACAATAATGTAAATCTGAGACTAGTCTAAGCATAAAATCTTGAAATAATTATTGCTCAACTACTCAAAATATTATCCAGTCATTAAAAATAATGGCTATGGGCATGGATAGATGGCTTGGCGGTTAAGAGTGCTTGCGGAGTAAAGATATATGGATAAAGGGGTTTACTACATAATTCATCATGCCACACTACAGCTTCCGTGACAAGATTTTTTAAAATTTTTTTCTCTTAAAATTTATTTTAATTTAGGGAGGGAAATTGCAAGGGCAGAGGGTAGATATGAAGATTCGGAGAGGGCTGGGGCGCTGGTGGTACACACCTTTAATCCTAGCACTCAGGAGGCAGAGGCAGGCGGATCTCTGAGTTCAAGGCCAGCCTGGTCTACTGAGCAAGTTCCAGGACAGGCTTCAAAACAATGCAGAGAAACCCTGTCTTGATAAAACCAAAAAAGATGAATGGAATTGAGATGCATGGTATGAAAGAAACAAAAATAAATAAATAAAAAGTTAAAAAAAAAAAAGAGTGCTTGCTGTTCAATCATGGGGACCCAAGTTCAGATGCCAGTACCCATGTAATAATATTCACACCCATATAATCTTTAAAAAATGAGAGTTATTGCCAGGCGTTGGTGGTACACTAAAGCCTTTAATTCCAGCACTCGGGAGGCAGAGGCAGGCATACCTCTGTGAGTTTGAGGCTAGCCTGGTCTCCAGAGCGAGTGCCAAGATAGGCTCCAAAGCTACACAGAGAACCCTGCCTCGAAAAACAAAACAAAACAAGAAAAAGAGAGAAAGAGAGAGAGAGAGAGAGAGAGAGAGAGAGAGAGTTATCTATATATAAAGAGCAGGCAGATACCTGTTGAGTTCGAGGCCAACCTGGTCTAGTGAGCTCCTGGACAGCTGGAGCTACATAGTAAGACTCTGTCTCCAAACAAAACAAAACTATAGTGGCTCAGCAGGTAAAAGTGCATGCTTTGTAAGCCTGATGACCTAAGACTGATCCCTCTGAAAAAGCTGGATGCAGATATGTGCATCTCTAATCCTCGTACTTGGTGACATGGGAAGCAGAGTCCGGAGAATTGCTTAGAAGCTTGCAAGCCAGCTGGTGCAGCAGAAATCAAAGACCGCGCCTCAATAAGGTGGAAAGAAATGATTCCAAAAAGTTTTTTCTGACCTCAAATGTGTGCCATGGATGCACACGTACCACAGCAGGTGTAAATTCACACCACACACAAACACACACATAATAATAATCTTTAAAAATGAGCTGGCTAGATGGCATAGTTGGTAAAGGCACCTGCTGCCATGCCTAATGTCCTGAGTTCAGTCACTAATGCATTACAATCCCTGGGGCCTGGACAGTGAAAGCAGAGAATGGAGTTACCCAAAAGTCGTCTGACCTTTGCATGCCTTCCTAGATAGGCACACTGCCTCCCACATCCCCCTATAAATAAACACAATGTAAAAAACTTTCTAAAAATTAAATTAAAAAAAATTTTAAAAGAAAAAGGAATTTCCAATGTGAAAAGGGAATAAAGAACATGAAATAACCCTGATAAAACAAAAAGCCCACAACCAAAAGCATACAAAATAACAATGAACCACATTTGTAATAAATAAATACAATCTGAAAGCACCTACAAGGGCTACCAGGTGGCTCAGCAAGTGGACACTTGTCACCAGTCCTAAATGACCTGCATTTGATCCCTGGAACTCACATGACAGACAGGAGACACTGGAGTCCCACAGACTGTCCTTTGGGTTCCACAAATGTATCCTGACACACGTACTAACTCATACACACATTAAAATACATGTACAACTGTAAAAAAATACTTACTAAATTAGTAACATGTTTTAAAATTTATAATTTTATAAACTCTGAGGAGAAACAAAAGATAGGAATTCTTGTTCCTCAGCAAATAAATTGAGGAAAGAATATTCAGAGTCAGGATGTGTGTCAAAGACTTTGCTTTGGACTATTGGATCAGAATGTGCCAGCAAGACAGAACTGTAGGTACACAAAAAGGTCAGTTCACAGACGTGAACTACTTCTTGTGATCCGTGTTACCAACAGGGCATATGGCAGTAGCAATAACACACATATGACAGCCTTTCTGAGGGTCCTTCAGAGGACACAGAAAAACATGGAAGTACAACATGGGCAATCATTTATATACAGGCAGGGAATTATGTTCCCAAATATACCTGCCTCCATGAAAAAGGAACAGCATGGAAGAATAGGAGGACCAGACACTGCTGCCACTCAACAAAAGCTGAAGCAATTATAGAATGTCTGTGTTCTCATCAACAAGTAACAGAACTCTGTAGTCACCACATGTTGGCTGGACTAGAATGTAAGCAAGCTCTCTTCTCCAAATGGCATGGGGATACTCCATGGCCATAGCTGTAATCATCTTGAGAGCTCAGCTAACAGTGGGGCTGGTGGTCATACCTTCTGGTACTGGCATGGAGGCTGACCCAGGGACAGCAGTCTCAGCCCAGGTATCCCATCCTCCTAGCAGATCTGGGTGGCTTGATGAAGCTATCACCTTGTTGGGCTCTGCTGAGAGATCCCCTGAAAGGAACCAGAGAAAAGCAAGGTTTGGTGTTTGTGCCTTCTTACTTCACATGATGCTTGGAAACCTCTCTTATCCCCAGGAATGAGCAGAAGGCAACTTGCTGGCCCAGCATACAACTCAAGGGACCAGTAAAGCTAGGCAGCTGAGGCCATGCTTTGCTCAGCCATCTTCATATGGTTTCTTTCCTGATAATCCCGAGGATGCAGCATATAGCCATAATCTGACCAACAGAGGTCAGCAGACAACATCTGCACAGGACAGTGATGACAACACTTGTATGCTGCCTTTTTCTCTAAACCTATCATACATAGCCCATAAGTCATATTCAGGAACTCCATGGAATCTAAAGCTAGTCCTCCTGCCCTCTGCTGGTCATGTACCCACCCCAGCATAGCACAGCCATATGTCCCATTTTCTACCGATAAACCATTCAGGGCAGTCAGCTGTCTTTTGGAGCATACCCCAGACCATCTACTCTCTGCTAGGAAAAAGAAGCAAGCTTTCTCTCCAAGATATGACTAGAGTGACAGCCTGGCTTCTCCTTTCCCAGGCCCCAATTTCTGTCTAAATGGCCCATGTCTGCTGCTCCAACATGCATACAACAGCCTTTATGCATCCTATTGCCTCTTCCTAAAGTTGGACTCGGCTGCCCCCTAATTTGTCATTCCTACCTCCTGGTCCTCTCACTCCTGGAAACTTCTGGCAGAAGTAGCTATTCTAGTAACAGCCACAATCCCAGAGCCAGAGAAATGCCCACTAGCAGGGTCTGTAAACAGCAGTAGAACCCGTTCCATATTTGAGGAGACAGCTTAAGGAGATGAGAAAAAGACACCAATGTGTTCTTCCAGGTCTGGAGACGCCCTAGACTTTGGGAAAGTCACTAAGAGGTATGTCAGGCCTCGTGCACCAGAGCTGCAGTAGACAGAAGGCACTTAAACCCACTACTCTATCCCTAAGCCCTATCCCCAGGGGCCTGCAGGAAGTAGGAGCTCCTAGGCCCTTCCAAGCATAAGCTTGTGGCTTCTATGTAATGTTCATCATGGCCATACTCACCCAGGTGCAGGAAGGTAGTGCTGCAGGATGGGGGTGGAGCACTGTGGGTGGATGGGAAGGCAGTTGAGGAAGCTACAGAGTCAGGGTTTAGAAACTCTCCAAAAAGATCAGGCTTGGAGCAGGGCTGGGTGTCCGAGCTGGATGACAGTAGGAGCTGATCAAATGGGTCCACTAGGAGACAGAGCCAGGGCAGGGACAAGCATTATACCTTAGCCCACATCCTGGAGCCCCAGTGCCCTGCTCTCAGCCCTCCACTTTCCTCAGCAATATGGGCTCAAGACCATCCAGCAGCCCACCCAGGGACACATGGAACTCCCAATGCCCCACAGCTCAGGACTGTTCCAAGGACACAGAAGCCAAAGCTGGCAGTCTTGGCTTGTGAGTAGGAATTGAAGCAGCCACATGCAGTTTCTCCAGTAGGTAATTTCCTCCCTCCAGATGTCAATATAACAGTGATGACCCTTTTTCTACATGGCAGGAATGGTTAACCCTTACTCATTACTATGAAGCCAATTTTATGCATAACTGAAATGCATACCAGTGTCAGAGACTCTTCCTTGTTGGGAGCTTTGCACCCCAAGAAGAGAAACTGGGCTTTCCAGAAGCAGAGGAGCCTCACCACTGAGCAGGTCACCAGGAGGCCCCACTTGAGCCGCATCAGATGGTTCAAGAAGGCAGCTCAACAAGTCAGTGTTGCTGGAGGGGACCCTACAAGCCTGCAAGGGGGCAGCAGGCCCCGAGTCACCCTCAGAGTGTAGGCCCAGGAGATCGACACCCTCTTCCTGGTGAGCAGGCTCCTGTGGGGCAGCCAGCATGCCCACATCAAATAGTAAGTCTTGCTGCCTGGTCCCAGCTGCCAGCCTTGGTATGTCTTCTCCAGACCCTGGCTCCCTCGCCTCACTGGGGAATGGAGGCTCTTCTTCATCTGATACTTCGCTTCCATCTCTGTCCGCAATCAGGACAGACTGACTCTCCTTAGGAGAGGAATTGTCTGCACCAGTGTCTGGTTCTTTTTCCTCTGTGGAAAGAAAACCATCAGTTGATTGACCCACATGCTGGGGTAACCATAAGAGGGCAGTACAAGCTGACATAGCCAGGAGCCTCAGCAGGCCCAGGTTGCAACCATACAACCAACACTAGGATCCTCATGCCCACCCCAGTGGTCAACCTTGGGCCTCAGAGGAGATCTTGAGGCTTGAAATTCACAGATCACCTGGGAGCCATAATACTGGCTTCTATCCAACAACAAAGAAGCCATCTCTGTGGAGTCTTGGTAAACCACAGCTATCAGGGGACATACCATAACACTTCTTGGGGAAATATCCTTTGCTGAGTGAGTGGCAGTGGTACACTCTGGGATATGTCAAGGAGGTGAATGGTCAAGGTGAAGACCCCGGGTGTTTAGTTGTAATAACTAGGCTATGAGACATGAAGAAGGGACTAAGAAACCCAGTAGAAACTGGAGGCAGTAAGAAATAAAGTAACTTCTAGATGGAGATGATATCAACCACCACGGTTCAGTTCATCCTTCTATTGAAGCACCTCTTCTGTTCCTTATGAACCTCTGGGCCTGTTAAGAAGACGATGTATATAGGGACTTGGCCAGCAAATGACTTCAAGTCAATAATGAAATGAAATTGATACCTTAGGCTTTGTGGGTATACATATATACACTGTGTGTGTGTGTGTGTGTGTGTGTGTGTGTGTGTGTGTTTAAATGTGTAGCTCAGCTGTAGAGGAGTTGTCTGACATGAGGTCTACGGTTTGATTCTCAGACACAATTCCTCCCACAACAGGCCAGTGTATTAAAATCTGCAGTCCCTCTAAGGAGACCTCAACTCTGCTTGTCCCCATGAAGTTCACCCTAAGTACTTGACCACAGGATACAGCCCTTGCAGAATGCTGCGACTGCCAGAAATCAGTGGTGACTAGTCAGTTCAGGGGTATGTGACAGACTGGACCCCATGGAAGGGTGAAGGATTAACTGTGCCTATGCCTACCCTGCCAATCCAGCGTGTGAAGAAAGTGGTTGGTGTCCGTGCCGCTGCTCTGCGGTGAGTCCGACTCTGTGATCTCAGCCTCCGGAGACCCTGCCTCAGCGTCATACTGAGCTGTGGAGCCCGGCTGCCGGGGGAGCTCTGGCTTCCCTGCCAGGAAAGGGCTGGCATCAGGCTACCTGTGCCAGGCACAACCCTGGGCAAGACACAGCCAGAGCAACAGAGCAGGTAGGCCATAGGGACACCTGTACCAGTTCCTTGAAAACAAGGTCTGGCTGCAAGTAGATTCCCACCATCCTTCTATTCAGATGCTGTGCCACATCCATGAGCACACATGCTACATTCACAGAACATACCACACACACACAATACAATACAATATGTACAAATCCAGACCACAGAGAACTGCAGGCAGGTCAAACCCAACCTGCTAAGGTACACTCCATTTTTTTGTAGGAACTGGGCTGACATAAACAGAGGAGACACCTATGCTTGGTAGAGAGTCATACCCAAACCACAGGTCTTCAAGTAAGCTGTCCCACCCTCATCATGGCATTTAAACTGTCATGCCCAGAGCATATGACCTGAGTCAGCTTATGGTACAAACCTAACTTTAGAGGAAATCCTTCCCAGTCACAGATTCACGCTGACCCCAAAGGTAGACCAGGGCTCATGTACTCAGAAAGCAACAGCCCCTCACTTTAGAGCAGTGGTTCTCAACCTTCCTAATGCTTCAACCCTTTAATATAGTTCCTCATGTTGTGGTGACCCCAAACATAAAGTTATTTTTGTTGCTGCTTCATAACTGTAATTTTGCTGTTGTGAATTGCAATGGAAATATTTATGGAGACAGAGTTCGCTGGAGGGGTCGAGATCCACAGGTTGAGAACAACTGCTCTAGAGTTTGTTTCTGCAGAGCAAGAGAATAGATTTCCCTGCTGGGCCCATGTCAGGCCTCAGGATCATAGTGTCATGTGTCTCCCTTCCCCACCATAGCTGTGAGTTTCCACTATCTTCTGTAGCACCTAGGTAAGCAAAGAGCAGGTAGGGATGCCCAAACCAGGGGAAAAGGTACCTCTTCCTGTAAGTCTTTCCTAGAAATGTAAGTCACTAGAACTGGGTCCTGAGCAAGCACACTGAGAGCCAAGGCATATCTTACCAAACTTAGACAGGATGTCCTGCTGCTCTTCCCTGCTGGAAAAGAGGATCTTGGGGTTCAGACCCCTCAGGCTGCTATTCTCCCAAGGTGGAGTTTCTCGGCTGGGCCTGTCTCTAGGTTCCACCTCCACCTCTAGGTTCACCTGGAACAGATCTGGGTACTTCTCCTGAATGTCACAAGCGTCGAGGTCATACCTACAGGTACCGAGAGGGAATGAGTGAGGATGGCCAGGGTGTCTCACAAGTTCTCCAGTATCCACAGAAAGGACACAAGACTGCTGGTGAGGCAGAGGTAGCAGAAACCATCCCTCCCTGTGGGACATGGGCACTTACAGCAAGGCTGATGCACCCAGGATCACTGCCCGGCTCCCCTAGTGTCAGGGCAGGGTTTCCCTGGCTGTTAATGTGGCAGACTAATGAGCTAGACTTCTGTGTTCCCCAAGTCTATGAGAGGCTAGGTGCTCAGAGTGACCACAGGACCGCTGCCATAGCATGACTCCTATATCCAGGAAGACAGGCAGGCAATTTCCACAAAGCAGACCCGTAGCCCTGACCAGAGGCCCTAGGCCCCACTCCTCACACCAAGTAGACACCTGCTGGGTTCAAGTCAGGTACTCTGAAATCTTAAATAGACTTTTATAAAAATAAATGCACCTTGGCAAAAATCCCAACTAGATAATCATAAATCCAAGACTTCTTGGGGTTCAGTTATCAGAAGCTAGGAATAAGACTTGCTGAAGGTCTGGGCTGTGAGAAGAGCCCAGACAGGAAGCAGCAAGTGGGGAGGTCATGGGGTCTTCAGACATCACAGGATATGGGGAGTCACATCACCCTGAAGGCAGCAACCTTAATTATTTTACAAACTGTCCCCGTGTGATAGCTCCACACTGCTCTAAGAAATCCTACATTTCCAGAGTCACAAACATACCTTGGTTTTATACCCATTTACTACATAATATCTCTGCACATTATACTAAATTTTGTACCTATCAATAATACCACTGTCACTGCCAACAAAATCTAAGAAACACACACAGCAGTGGTGAGCCATTTTAGGGGTGTCCCAGGTGCCAAGGGAAGCCATGTATTCCTGGTCCCAAGGGCTTCTCTGAATCTGTGACTGTAGTTATCAATACCACTGTGTAAGGAAGGCTGGGGAGGAAAGAGTGGTGATCTGGGTGGCAAAGCAATGGTTCATTTTGTTTCTTACTATTATAAAATAAGCATGTAGGTGAGCCTGTAATGCTTAAGACACCCAGTTTATTACTTCCTGCCTGGGATACAACCCTCTGCATACTGGAGCTCAGGACAGAGCAAGGTGGCTCTGATAGGGGCTTTTCCTCCATGTGTCTTTCAGTTGGGACAAAACTCAGTAACTACATGGAGCTAGGCAGAAACAGCTTACAGGTAGCTGATGGCCACAGGGAGGAAAGGCTGAAACTTGCCATCAATGAGGATGGAGGGACAAGGCAGGAGGACCCACGGAGAGTGTTCTGTGCATTTGGCAGGCTCAGCCTCTAAGACAGGTTGATGACAGTTCTGGGCACAGCTCATTTCTTGCTTCCCAGCCCGACTGACCTTGAGACTGCCCAGCCTAGTCAGCAGGGCAGTGAGGACACAATGAGGGTGTGTGAGCAGGGGGTTAGGAGCTAGATTTCAAGACACAGGTCACAGGCCCTGGAGGTTGGGTACCAGTGTGTCTAGGTTTCAAAGGGAAGTAAAGGGGATTCTCACACATGTAGAATTCACAGAACACCTCAGATTCGTTGTGTATTCCATGACCAAACTGACCCACCCAAGCTCATCTGACGGTGTTGCTCCCAATTCTACAGCTACAGTTCAGCTGCTCTGAAGAGCAGTCCATATATGTATGCTTCTCTAGTGAACGCCCTCGCCTTACTACAGGCTTATGTAGCCAGTATACTCAAATAAAGCATATTTCTGTGGTCTGAAGTCTCCACCAAACTCAAGCAACAGTACTATACATTGGATGCTTCAAAAAAGAGAAATCTGTTTCCTTTTTCAGTTACTGAATTTTGAAAACCTCAAGTCATTGCATAAATAATCTATATGATAATTTACTCATTCTGCTTGCCAAAAAAAGAAATGACATCAAATGTAGTTTATCCATTCTGTTAGTGGGTGCTTCTCTAGTGAACAAACACATGGATGGTCTGCAGCTGCCTCATTGGCCTTTCAGCACACTGCACTGCTACCTCTCAGAGCACCTCTCCTTGTTCTGCACTAGCTGTTGCTGACAGACTAGATCTTCAGCCTGTGTTTATGTGGTAGGTGCCATCCCACTACTTTTAGCCTTTTTTGTCTTCACATGCATATTTCTAAAACATGGCTCTTGTAAACTACACACATCTGAGGTCTTTTTTTTTTTTCAGTCAGGTTGTCTGTTTAATCAACCTGATAGCATTATGTGGCATACTTTGTACATCTGGAATCAGGCTGACACACTGGAGATGAGCTTACTTATTTTCTGTCCATCTCCTCTGGCTCTGTTTCTTCACTTCTCCATTCTGATTTTACCTAGATTAATCATTTCCTGTGTTCCATCTTTCTTCTCCTCTATCTTTATTAAGCTCTTTATTGCTTTCTACGGAATTATAACATACTTCCTTGGCTTATAATTAGCACATTGCTGACTTCTAGGCCTCAGAGGCTAATAAAACTGGTTATCTCTCCTGACTCTCTGGTGCTGCTGTCATGCATTTTTACTACAAACAAATCTTTTTTTTTTTTTTTTTTTTTTTTTTGAGACAGGGTCTCTCTATGCAGTCCTGGAACTGCTAAGTATATTAGACTGGCCTTGAATCTATCTGCCTACTTCTGCCTCCTGAATGCTGGGACTAAAGCTGTGTGCCAACATGCCCAGTTCCAAACAAATCTTTTTTTCTTTTTGGTTTTCCGAGACAGGGGTTCTCTGTGTCTTTGGAGCCTGTCCTGGAACTAGCTCTTGTAGACCAGGCTGGTCTCGAACTCACAGAGATCCACCTGCCTCTGCCTCCTGAGTGCTGGGACTAAAGGCGTGTGCCACCTACTCCTGCCAAACAAATCTGAAAGCCCATGATAATGCATGATTGCTTATGTTTTAGGTAGTCAACACACAATTTTACCTACTAAAGTGAGTGTCCCAATTTTCCCCATATTTTATAGCTAGTTTCAGGCTTGCTTCTAGTTTGTTCTGTCTGTTCTTTGGTAATAAACTATCCCACCCTCTTTCCCTGAACACTTCTGCTAAGTTAATCACACCACAGGGTACTTTCCCTAGATACAGAATCCTCATACTTTTCTTCTATCACTCCTAAGATGTTACTGCACTGACTTCTGGCCTCTAGTCCTTTAGTTCAATGACAGATGTTGTAGGGGAGATATCCACCCAGCCCACACCTGTAGCACTGACCACATCCGTTTGGGTGTGGTCACAGGTACAGAAGTAACGGAGGGTAGGACTAGATTTGGGGTCCCCCACCCCAGTGCTCTCTCTTGCTTCCGGTCAGGTCACAGAGGACAGGCTGTGAGGATCCTTGGAGCTGGAACCTGCAGCGGTCACCTGCATTCTTCCTGAATAAACTTCACTTATCCTGTACTGAGTCCAGTGAATCTTGATTCTCAGACAATATCTGGCCCACACCCAAATGGGCGTGGTCAGTACCACAAGTGTGGGTATCTCACTACAAGATGTTGTTAGCTGTGTCACTATGACAATCATGTTATCTGCCTATCATGTGTTTGTTACTGTCTGGGTTTTATCAATTTAACTATGTTCTGAGACAGGGGTTTCTCTTCTTGTTATTAGAAAACCCTGGGTGGTATGCATAATCTGTCTACTACTTTTCCAGGAGCTGAATCTGTTCTTCTCCTTTGACTTCAGATTTGGCATTTATCTGTCTTTTCAGGTTCACTCTTCATCTCCTTTGTGCTCAGTCTGAAGAATATATTCTTTACAATTCACTGTGTCTGTTCAGCTGCCAACACATTTCCCAAATTCTTCATGCCAGCTATGTTTTCAGTTCTAGAATTCACATCTGTGTTGTCTCCATATTCCTGGTGTCCTGAAATCTTCCACTTTCTCCTCTGATTTCTTTTTTAAAAACTGTTTATTACATTTTAATGTATTTATTTTGTGTGTGTGTGTGTGTGTGTGTGTGTGTGTGTGTGTGTGCACACACACAAGTCAACCTGAATTATGTCAGAGAATAATTTGCAGGAGCTGGTTCTCTCCTTCTAATCAAACTCAAGTCATCAGGCTTGGTAAAGTAAAGGTAACTTTCAGAACCATCTTTCTGGCCCTATGAGTTCCTGAATATTTTGTTGTTTTGATCCATTTTCTGCTGCTGTAATAATATCATGACTGACTTAGAAAGAATAAAAGCTTATGCTTTTCATGGTCTGAGACTGGTGGCTGTATCTGCTGAGGGCTTCTTGGCTGGTAGAAGCTTTACAGGGTTCCTAGATGGCACTGGGCATCATATGCAATGTCCTAGCCCAGCCCTCGCCCTCATCTTCTTATATAGAGCTAATGGACAGGGCTCCACCTTCATGGCCTCATTTAATCTTCACAGCCTCCCAAAAGCCAGACCCCCACACATCATAAATATATGAAGTCTTCATCCTCTTAATAATTCTAATGGGGATTAAATTACAGCATGAATGTTTGTGGAGACATTCAAGCCATAGCAATACCAGTCGGAACTATTAAAAGTTCTTGTTCATTAACTCTCATACCTGAATCATATAAATCTTTCACCCTCATTTTCTTGGTCTTCCGTCATTTGGTCTTAAAAAAAATTAATCATGCCTCCACAGAGCTGAAAATTATAGAAACTACTGTTTGCAAGAAAAATAGTGAGGTACCTGGAATCCCAGCACTTGTGAGACTGAGGCAGAAGGATCTAAATGAGTTCCAGGCTCGCCAGGGCTACAGAGTTGGTATGAGTCTAAGTTACAGAGTAAGAGATCTTGCCGCAAACAAATAGTCAAGTATCAATATCAAAGAGAAACAAATGCAAGAGATTAGCAAACACACATATATACACATAGTCTCTGGAGTTGTGACCTGTGACAGGCCTGGTCTAGTACTTCCCTTGGGGGAATGCAGAAAACATGAGCACAACATGGCAGATGGCGTAGAACCTGGCAATTCTCTGCTCCCTCATGAACACTAGTTTCTTTTCTGCCCAGGGCTGGTAAGTGTGCTCGATGGAGAAGAGAGTCTATGAGCAAGACCCATACACCTGAATCTGAAAATATATCCTGATGCTTACAGGCTATACGAACAACCTTGAACTGGTGGGTGATGCCAGTTGCTCACCACAAACTGGACCATGTTGCAGAACCCAATATATACGGCAGTACCCCACGAGTCCTCTGTCAGCCTAAAGGGATATTACTTAGTAGTGTTTGTTTATACATTTGTCTGTAAAAGCAGACCAAGCTTCTAGAAGGTAGGACCAGCACATTACCTCTAAACTCAGTGCCTAGCAGAGCCCTGTTCACAGAGCAAAGAATCAAAATGTAGAGTAAATTTCCAACTCACTGGTTATGCCACATCTAGATTTAACTAGCTAAATTCTAAAAAGAGATGCATAGGGTCAGTCCAAAGGCATCAGTGTACAAAGTGGCCCTTTGTAAAGTGTGAGGGGCAGAGCATACAAGCAAGCAAGAGCCTATGTTCACTTTTATAGTCAGCATCACGTGGCAGGCCTCTCACCTGCTAGTCTTTTTGTTTTTTTGTTGTTTTTTGGACTGACCCATATGCATGTGTTCAGCTAGTGGTTCTGGGTACCTGTCCCTCTCCAACAGCAGCACAGTGCAACACCAACATACTTTGCAAATTTCACAGTGGTTGCATTTCGAGGCACGAACCCAGTGTGGAACTGGATCTGGAACATTTTCATGGACGCCATCTAAAAGAAGACCAGCAGGAGACCCATTGAGAGTGCATACTAATCCTGGATCAGAGTTCTTCCCCAAGAATATAAGCTGCTAGATGGGGTCCAACAATCTGTCCTCAGACACAACTTCAGGCACAGGACAGATAGGGTAACACTACCTGCAGGCTGGCACTCCCTGCCAAATGCTTGGTGAGAGCAGAGAAGATGCCTGCTTTGGGCCAGAGCAGCTTGGGTTAAGGCAAGAGATGTACCAAGGCCAAGCATAGCAGCTCTTCATGAAGACTACAGACTATGCTTATGGGGGAAGTTCTTGACCTTTCAGGCTAGAATCCCTTCTGCAAAGGGATTCTATGTCACACAGAGAGCACTGAGGACTGGCCCAAACACTTATGGAACAACAGTTTACAGCTCACTAGATAGTAAGTCAATCCAGAGGCCCAAGCACACAGGAAGCAGCTATAGCAACACTTACCTTGGCCTGTAGCCTCCCTCCTAAAGTGGATCTCGCATGGTAGATGATGATGAGCACGTCCCCCTGAACTGTTATGCCCAGGGGGATGACAGCTTTGCCATCCTCAATTTTAAATTCCCTGGAATACAGTAAGAAGTTGGCTTATGTAAGTTAAAATAAGTAAATAAACAGACAAATAAATAAAACAAGAGTTCTATGATTTTACCCAACACTTGAATACACACTTTCTCTAGCTGTTTAAGTTACTGGCAGAATATTTATTCTAAGAAGTCACTCTTCTTTTTGTTTGCTTGTTTTTCAAGACAGGGTTTCTCTATGTATCCCCAGCTATTCTGGAACTTGCTCTGTAGACCAGGCTTGAACTCAGAGACCCATCTGCCTCTGCCTCCCAAGTGCAAGAAGCCACACTTGCACAAAAGCCCCTTTTTTCCACCCTCAGCCCAGCATGTAGTCATTTGTACCTAGCACACGTCAACCAGAACACAAGGCAGTTTCTACTTCAGAAGTCTGCAAGAGGACATAAAATGTAAAGGGGTGAGACACCCCAAATCTGTACTCACTTCATCCTGTCATATTCCTGGGATGTGGTGGTTATGCGCTCCTCCCCAACATAGACCTCACAGAATGGTCGGCAGCCATTCCTCTGCTTGCTGAACAATGGCACAGGGGTCATGACAACAGATTTCACCAGCATTGGCTTGCTATGGGGTGTGATGGGCTCCTCTGCCACCATGTCACATATATATTCAATATACCTAAGGTAGATATGCACTTGTCACCCAAGTATGTGATGTCCTCAGGGGATAGATGACACATAAGACATTTTCCCTTCTCAAATAAAGTATTTAATACCATAAATCTCCCTTTGAAGGTTTAGTTGATCTTCAAAAATCTGATACTATATTTTAAAAGTATTTTAAGTCCCTTGAGACTTCCTTTTCACCCATGAGTTGTTTAGAAGTTTCATTTTGAAATAGTTAGGAATTTTTCTAGATCGTGTTACTGATTTCTAGTTTTATTAACCCTTGGAGCCTGAAAACACATTTTTGTATGTATAATTTCAATTAATTTTTTTTAATTTAAGGGCTGGAGAGATGGTTAAGTAGTTAAAAGTAGTTCTCAGCACCCATATCAGGCAGCTCAGAATGACCTTTATCTCAGTTACAGAGGAATTTGAACACACACACACACACACACACACACACACACACACACACTCACTCACTTAATTTATGGCTCAAAATCACACTCCTTTAATGTTCTATATGCATTTGAAACAAATATATGTATTTATGGTGAAATATTCTACAGCAGCCAGTTAGTGCTAGAGAGTCACTAATTTTGTGTGTTCTTATTCTACTAACTAATGAGAGAAGAATGATGGGAGTTAACCTTACTATAAAATTTTTATTTTAGGGCTGGAGAGATGGCTCAGAGGTTAAAAGCACTGACTGCTCTTCCAAAGGTCCTGAGTTCAATTCCCAGCAACCACATGGTGACTCACAACCATCCTTATAAGATGTGGTGCCCCCCACAACTAACCACTGAACTGAACTGGAATCCAGATGCAGAGAAGGACAATTGAAGAGCAAAGGGGTCCAGACCAGGCTGGTGAAACCCACAGAAATAGCTGACCTGAACATCCAGGAACTCTTGCTCCCCAGACTGATAGCTGGGGTACCAGCATCGGACTGAACCAGACCCCAGGAACATGGGTTTCAGTGAGGAAACCTCGGAAATCTACAGGACCTGCTGTAGTAGTTCAGTACTTATCCCTAGCATAGGTGTGGACTTTGGGAGCCCATTCCACAGAGGAATATTCCCTGAGCCAAGACACACGGGGGTGGGCCTAGGCCCTATCCCAAAGGATACCATAGACTCTGATGACACCCTATGGAAGGTCTCACTATCCAGGGGGAGCAGAAAGGATATGCGATTGGTAGGGTTTTAGTTGTGGGGGGTCGTCGGGGAGGACAGGAGGGAGAGGGAACTGGGATTGTCATGTAAAACAATCTTGTTTCTAATTCAATAAAAAAAAATCTGGGAAAAAACAAAACACTCATATACATAAAAAAATAAGATCTGGTGCCCTCTTCTGGTGTGCCGATATACATGGAAGTAGAATGTCATATACATAATAAATAAATAAATAAAATAAGATCTTAAAAAATTATTTTAAAATTTATTTATTTTTATGTTATGTGTGTTAGTGCTGGTCTGCATGTATACTGATCTACCCACCACTTGTACATCTGGTACCTGGGAGGGTGCTGGATCCCCTGGGACTAGAGCTATATACAGTTGTGAGCCACTATGTGGGTGTTGAGAATTGAACCCAGGTCTTCTCTGCAAGAAAAGCCAGTGCTCTTAACCACTTAGACAGTTCTCCAGCTTTACCATGCTATAAATTTTGATTATTTAAGACAAAGGCCACATAGATCAAACTGAAACTGGCTTTGAACTCCTTATCTTCTTGCCTCTAACTTCCAAGTACTGGGATTACAGATATGTGCCTCTATGTCCAGCTTTTTTTTTTTTTTTTTTTTTTGAGGTAAAGGTTTGTTATGCAGTCCAGGCTGGCCTTGACTCATGGTCCTCCTGGTCCTAACTTTCCAGTTCTGAGATCATAGGTGTATATCAACATGCTCCACTTGAATATATTGTGTCTACTGATGACAGAGCTTCTCTGACTTCCTTTTGGGGAGTGTTTCTATGGGGCATTGTGTCAGGCTCCCACCAATAGTGTGTCCTCTGGCAGGGGAAGAGGACTAGAAGCAGCTGTCTTCTTCAATCAACATGGGTGTACGGATCTTCCTGTAGACTTGTCTCAGTTGCCCAGGAGCTGGGCAATTGGGAACAAAAACCTAAATCTGTGTTCACCCGATGATTAGCACAAAGGCAAATGGAGACAGAGCTACCCACAGCTGAGACTGCTTTTAGATGAGCAACACCTGGTAATTTGTATTTCCAATCACTGGTTTACTCCTCTATTGGCCAGAATCTATCCAAGAGTCTGAGATTCTCAGACCAAGTGAAGGAGGAACATGCTCTCCTGGATATCAGTGAGTGTAAAATAACCATCAGGCTTTGAATGGTGGAGAGTCTCATTCATGCTTTTCTTTTTTCTGGCAAGCAGCTTCCTTCCCTGTGGCTCAGATTCTCTGTGTTCAGGATGAAGTAAGACAACATGCCAGGATGGTTTTCATATATTTTTTTCGTTTTTAGATGTGCTTATGTCTTCAGAGATTCCTAAGCCTGTGGCTGCTGTGAATCCTGGAGATGCTCATATTTTCAGTGTTTCATTCTATACTTTCCCTTTAATGCCATCTATACATACCTTTAATGCCATCATTTGGGAGGCAGAGGCAGAAGGATCTCTTAGGAGTTTGAGGCCAACCTGGTCTCCATAGCAAATTCTAAGCCATTCAAGGTTATATAGAGACCATTCTCAAAAAAAAAAAAAAAAAAAAAAAAAAAAGCATGTGTATACACACATGGGCATGATGGTGCATGCCTTTAGTCCTAGCATTCAGGAGTCAGAAGGAGGTAGATCTCTGTGACAAGGTCAGCCTGATCTACAGGTGGGTTCAGGATAGCCAGGGATATGTAGAGAAAACCTGTCGAGAGAGAGAGAGAGAGAGAGAGAGAGAGAGAGAGAGAGAGAGAGAGAGAGAGAGAGAGAGAAAAAAAAAAAAAATGAATTTTGGGAGAGGGGAATTCTTCATTGGTAGCCAAAGGTTTGTGACAGTCTCATTCATGCTTTTCTTTTTTCTGGCAAGCAGCTTCCTTCCCTGTGGCTCAGATTCTCTGTGTTCAGGATGAAGTAAGACAACATGCCAGGCTGGTTTTCATATATTTTTTTCGTTTTTAGATGTGCTTATGTCTTCAGAGATTCCTAAGCCTGTGGCTGCTGTGAATCCTGGAGATGCTCATGTTTTCAGTGTTTCATTCTATACTTTCCCTTCTTTTGGGATACACTTATGTGTATGCTCGGCCATTTGCAACAGTCTGAGAGCTCCTGTCATTGCTTTTAGATGAGCAGCACCTGGTGATTTGTATTTCCAATCACTGGTTTACTCCTCTATTGGCCAGAATCTATCCAAGAGTCTGAGATTCTCAGACCAAGTGAAGGAGGAACATGCTCTCCTGGATATCAGTGACTTGTCTGCTTTCCTTGCTAGGGTCTTTGGCAGACTTATCAGCTATTTTAAATTTCCGTTTGCATTTCAATGTGCTCTTTGGTTCTGTTTTTCGCCCTCAAGAGAGAAAGGACTAGACACTGCATATGCTTTCCTCCCCTTGCTTTCTGGAGACTTCGGAGAAGAGTCATCAAGGAATGGATGGACACTCTGTTATAATACCCCAAGGCTGTACCCATGTCCACCACAGTATTCTGGGTCTTCCCATGTGGTATCCAGCCAAAGACATCCTGACAACAAATGCAGCATCTCTTCAGAGCTCTGTAGATCTGGGGCAAGTTGACGGCATGAGGTCCCCAGCTTACGAGGGGTCTGAAAAGGGCATAGATGTGAAACTGTCCTAGTCACTGTTAGGACACGAGTGGCACTATGTCACAGTGCCTCCAGGAGGCCCCAGGGTTCCTGGTAGAGTCCCAAAGACACTGTTTTGTTTTATGCTCTACTCAACCTCAACAGCTATGCTGCCCATATCTCTGGCCCAGCAGGCCCCAACATGCAGGAAATAGAAGCTCCAATGGCTAAGAGCTGAACATGATTAAATTCTTCCAGCCACTCCTAACAGAGGCTAGAACAGGGATACAGATGTATAGCCACTCCCCTTATATGGCCTGAGGAACACGTTGCAGTCATGATGTTCTACCCACCAGGCAGTCAGCAACTAAGGGGGGTCCCATTCCTAAGGGAACTGTATATGGTGACAAGAGCACGTACTACTCCCATTGCCAAAATGGAGGACCCCTTACTGGACTGGATCTTTGCCTCACACTAGCATCCATGTTGGCTTTTTGTTTTATGCTCCATGGACAGCAGCTCTGCTGTCCATATCAAAGCCCACTCTCTTTCTCAGTGAGGAGGCTGATCCATTTCCTTCCAAGTACTTATTAAGACAGAGGGCATTTATGATTGGCAGTGTCTCTCTAGACCTGGACTTCCAAGTGAACCACAGTGGACATAGCTAGCAAATGAAGTAGTCCTACAGAGAATGGCAAAGCTAGGCACGGCCTCAATAATTTGTTTCTTAACTTAACCTATAATTTCAGCACAAGGGCAGCTAAGACAAGGAGACTGGCACAAGTTTGAGGCCAGTCTGGCCTATATAATGAGTTCTAGGCCAGGCTGAGGCTTCTAAGTGGGTCCCTATGTCAAAAAGCCAAAAAGAAAAACAAAAGGAATTTTTTTCCTTTACACTGCAGGTATGCCAACAGGACTGTCTGAGTGTCTTACATGCATTTTTGTGATCTCAAAATAAGCAGGGTAATACTTTACATTTGAAAGTGTGAAGGTTCACAGTGCATTCCCAAATAACCTTCCAAGACCACACAAAGCTGGATTGCACAGAACATATGTCTACACCAAGTTTACACATTTACTGGAAAACCCAGGCACGCAATAGAAGGCTGCCATCACAAGTCAGAAGCCATCATAGCTTGAGAGTTCCAGTTGAATGTTAACTGTGGTTACTCTTGCTGGGTACCTGTGCGTACAGGTCTGGGGCTGAGCTAGAAACTACAGTGATACTAACTTAGCCTGGAACAAACTAGAGTACCTGACTTCAGGTCCAACACAGTGAAGGCAGCACCAATAAAGCTGTAGGCATCACTGTCCCCAGCAAGAATCACCTGGTACCTTTTGTGGGATGGCCAAATGCCTGGTGGGCAGCGCTTCATGCTGAACATGTACACAGCAGCCTCTGCAGTGCTGAAGAGACGGCAGAAGCACAGGAATGCACAGACTGCCACAGCAGATGCAGCTCTCCCATCCTAGAATAAAGAAACAGATTTCCTTTACATAGGCCCATGCACAAAAGGATGAGCAGTTCTGATAAACCTCCCAACAGGCTATGTGCCTAATAGAAGGACCTCATACTGGGCTTGTTAGGAACATACAAATATGATTGTGCAATGAGAATTCAGAGCCCAGAAGATAATAAAGAGCCAGTAACAAAGTACACAGGATGGCCTCCCACTCAGGCTGGTCTGCTGGCCTCACCATGTTTAAAATCCCTTCCCAAAACCTCATATCAACACTGGTCTCTTCATTTGTGTTACCAGGAACTGAACCCAGGGCCTCCTACTTGCTAGGTAAATGCAGTATCACTTATTTTGAGACAAGGTCTTGTTAGGTTGTTTAGGCTGGGCTTTACCTTGTGATCCTTCTGCCTCAGCTTCCCAAGTAGCTGAGATTACAGGCCAGTATCACCAGGTTCATCTTAACATTGTTCTCGTTGTAGTATTTATTAATAGTTGTACCAGATGTAATGTCACACGCCTTTAATCCTAGGACTTGGGAGGCAGAGGCAGGTGGACTTCTGTAAATTAGAGGCTAGCCTGGTCTACTTGGTGAGTTTCAGAACAACTAGGGGTATGCAGAGAAAATATCTCACAAAACCAAAGCACAGTTGCAGTACAGCAGAGCTGAGCCCCAATTGTGCTTCCTGTTGGGTGTCACACAGCATGTAAGGTTTTCCAATTTTTCTCCCTTACTCTGTGGTTAGGAACAACTAAGGTAAAAACTCATTTATCTCAAGGTGCATAACCCTCTCCCAGCGGAATGGCTTCTTGCTGCTCAAATCACCAAAAAGGGCCCTTATGAGTGCTTCTTATCCCATAGGAGCAGGACCACCAGGGAGTCTGTGTCCATTAAGCCCAAGCTGTGAACATAGAGGTCTTCCTCTGGTCATCGTTCCCTATAGCACCCAGAACCAGTGTTGCTTTGATTCACTGTATGCAGCCAGCACAACTCACCATGCAGTGCACAACGCAAACGTTCCTGTGGTCTTCCCGGAGCCAGGCATGCATACTCCTGCAAAGAGTGTACAAACCGTGGAGATGTGGTGCCCGCCTGGCTGCCCAGCCACACTCAGAGACCTGTGGGTAAAAAGTCCACTCAGCTGAGTTTCTGCACCAGCCCCAGTGAACCTGGCTGGCATCTCCACATGGTTACCATGTCTCTGCTGACAAGATTGCTCCCCCTTTTTTATAAATTTTATTTAAATTATAAACAGTCCTATTTTACATATCAATCCCAGTTCCCTTTCCCTCTTATCCTCCCATGTCCCCCAGCCCATCCCCCATCTACTTTTCAGGGAGTGTGAGGCCTTCCATAAGGGATCACCAAAGTCTGTCAAGTCATTTGGGGCAGGGCCTAGGCCCTCCCTCATGTATCTAGGCTAAGAGAGTATCCCTCCATGGGGAATGGGCTCCCGAAGTCTGTTCATGGATGTGTGTGTGTGTGTGTGTGTGTGTGTGTGTGTGTGTGTATGTATGTATGTATGTATGTATGTATGTATGTGGTTTTTTTCGAGACACAGTTTCTCTGTGTAACAGACCAGGCTGTCCTGGAACTTGCTCTGTAGATCAAGCTAGCTTTGAACTTAGAGATCCACCTGCCTCTGCCTCTGCCTCCTGAGTGCTGGGATTGAAGGCATGCGCCACCAACGCCTGGCAACAACATTGTCCTTTTTGTTTTGTTTTGTTTTTTCTTTTGGTTTTTCAAGATAGGGTTTCTGTGTAGCTTTGGAGCCTATCCTGGAACTCGCTCTGGAGACCAGGCTGGCCTCGAACTCACAGAGATCTGCCTGCCTCTGCCTCCAGAGTGCTGGGATTAAAGGCGTGCGCCACCAACGCCCGGCTACCACAACAAGCTTTCTATCTCTTATCATGTAGTCAGACCTGAAACTTTATCAGGGGGCAGGTGAAGTGGCTCACTCTTTTAATCCCAGCCCTCGAACTCACAGAGATCCACCTGCCTCTGCCTCACAAGTGCTGGGATTAAAGGTGTGCGCCACCACCACCCGGCAACCTTGTCCTTTTTTAAACAATTACTTTTTAACCAGTGCCTGTGTGTTGATGGTGTCCATGCACATACATACACAAAAGTGCCACAGAGGACAACTAGTAAGAGCTGATTTTCTCCTTCTACAATGTAGGCCCAAAGGACTAAACTTTGTTGTCAGTCAGGCACCTTAATCTGCTGAACCATCTCACTGGCCCCCCCAGAGCTGTGGTGGCCTGGGTCTCTGAGCATCTTTCTCAGCTGGGGTTCTCATGTGATATCCCTCTTGGCTATGAGTGACCTATGCCACAGACTGATCACTGATGCTGCAAAAAGAACGACCTTTTCCTGTGCTTTGGGTCAGTTTACATATGTGAAAAGTCCTGTGTCCAATGTCATCAAGCAGATTACATGACTGAGTGGTCCTGAAAGCCAGGAGCAGTGAAGGGGAGGAAGGCATCCTAGTTTCTTGGGGAACAACAATCTTCCCAAGGTTTTCACCCCATAGTGTCTGTGTCTCTGTCTGTCTGTCTCTCTTTCAGTGTGCGTGTGCGTGTGCGTGTGCGTGTGCGTGTGTGTGTGTATGTGTGTTTCAGGGTTCCCTTCAAACTCTGTTCCACCCCATAACCCTGGCCACACCTCTAGCCCTGGCCTCCCTGGCAGCTGCCATGGTCTGCTCCCTGTAGCTGCCTGTCACTGTACCTATCAGGCTAGTGCAGATTTATCACTTAAAACAGCAATTTAATGGGAAAGGAGTGGCCAAATCCTAGCAGTTCAAAGCCACTTACCCGGTTGTGGAATTTGGAAGCCCGGTATATCCGTGGAGACAGGTTGTAGACAGCATAGTGTCCTGGATGCTTGGCATCCAGAAACAACCGCACATCCTCTATGTTGTTTTTGATTGCTGACTCTACACCTTCTGCTGGGAATGACATCACTGAAACACAGTAGGCTCAAGTTAGCTGCTGAAGAATTATCCTCTTGAGCTGTGCTTGTTTCCCAGCTGGGTAGCTGGCAAAACAAACAAAGACTCTTCTGACCCTCTTAAAGCCCCTCAGCCTGTGAAGTGGGAGGTGTGCAGACTTACAACACAGGAAATCTCACAAAGCTAATCACGTACACCTGGGAATGCTGCCCAGGTAACCTGATATACATCATGGTCTGTAAGGGCCACAATCAGCTTTTCTGATTATTTTTTGCCTAGATCTAGTTTTGAATGTGCATGGCCCTACCATTACATTACTCCCTTTGTACCCTCAGAGTTCCAGTCACACCAGAAGCTGGATTGACACGGGTCCTGCCCTTTTCTTTTTTTTTTTTTGGTTTTTCGAGACAGGGTTTCTCTGTGTAGCTTTGGAGCCTGTCCTGGCACTCACTCTGGAGACCAGGCTGGCCTCGAACTCACAGAGATCCACCTGCCTCTACCTCCTGAGTGCTGGGATTAAAGGTGTGCGCCACCAACGCCCGGCTGGGTCCTGCCTTTTTCATAGACCAGGAAATACACTTGACATAAGCCCACCCACTGCCAATCTGGATAGTGTCCAGGTCACACCTCAGATGGATCCATGGCTACCAAAGAGGCTAAAGAGGCACCTTGGCTACCACCGTTGGCCCCTTGTCTAAGTCCCCTACAGATGTTTATCATCCAATTAGACATACCTGCAATCCTGGATGTGATGTAAGATATGTCCAGATCACCCTTTGCATAGCTGGAATGAAAAGAATACTCAATCACTACAGAAGACACTTGACAGTTACATCATAAGAACCTGAAGAGGAGCCCAAGCCCTGAATGCTGAGGTAACCTTGCTGGTAGGCTGTATCCCATGAGAAGTGTGTGTGTGCACGTGCACAGGTCTTGTGTGTAACTTTGCTGTATGAGCTGACAACCAATGAGAAGTGGCATAAAACACTTGAACCTGGGATAGAGCAGCCCCAGAAGGGCTTCAGCCATCTTTTGCTTTCTGGAGTATTCTCCAAGGCAAAGACATCGAGGGCTGGGACTGGACAGATGGCTCAGAGGTTAAGAGCACTAGTTGCTCTTCCAGAGGACCCGGGTTCAAATCCCAGCACCCACATGGCAGCTCACAATCGTCTATAATGAAATCTGATGCCCTCATCTGGCATGCAGGCCTGCATGCAGACAGAACACTATATACATAAATAATATATATAATAAATATATATATAATATATAATAAATAAATAAATCTTAAAAACAAAACGCTAAGGGCTGATCCTGGCAGTAACAAAGGCAAGGGTGCTACAGACACTGCTCCAAAGGGATGACAGGAACAGTGGCAGGCAACTTAAGGCAAGAGGACACCTTATGCCCCCTATACAGAACTGAAAGGAGACAGCAGACACTGTTGGAGGGAGACAGAGACATCCTAAATGACCAAGACAAACCACTGCTCAGGGCCACCAAAAACTCTTAGAAACCAATCTCCTAAATTGGTTCACAAAACTGACAAGAATACAGATTAAATCCTAAACAACCATGCAAGAACTTGACAAACTTATTCTACATACAATTCCTCTCAAAAAACACTTATGCTACAACAGCCAAGATACCCTGGAATGGAGGAGAGAGGGGGGTAAATGGTGTTGAATAACTATTTTGAGTAGCACACTATGGCTGAGCAGTGAGGTCAGGATAGGAAAGTCAGAGACAGCTGAGGAAGGCACACTTGGTATCAGCAGTCAACAAGGGGTCAATACAGAAGGTCAGGTGGAAAAAAAGAACAGATATACACTACAAATTTACTGACATAAAACCTGATTATTACTATCTTAATAGTTTAAAATATGTACTAAAGTACAGCTTTATCTGGTGCTTAAATTTCTGTAGGAAAAGGCAGTTAAACAACTTACTAGCTCCAATCTGTTTCTTCACAAAAATAATTAATAGTCCAATAGTAACCAAGATACCAGGTATAAGTGGTAGATGTCTTTAATCCTAGCACTCTAGAGGCAGAGGCATGCAAATTTCTGATCTCTGTGAATTCAAGGGCAGCCTGGTCTACACAGGTGAGTTAGTGCTACTAAGGTAAACAGGGCAAAGGGTGCAAATATAAAGCAGACAGTGAAAATAACTTAGTTGATCCCTCAGGGCAGACAAACGTGCCCTAGTATCAGGTCAGGTGTAGGAAAGCACATGAAAGACACCTAGTGGTGTACCGTGAGTACTGAATATTACTTAGGGCTCCATACACACTCTACCCTAACCTTTCATCTGTTTATAGGAAGTACAGAGGACCTTGACAGTTTATCTCTTAGCACGGGTTCAAGGGTATACACATTAGATTTGTACTTAACATAGACCAGGGTGGCCCAGATCTTGGTTTCTAAGATAGTAGCCTCAAGCAATCAGGAGAGTCTGAAGTGGTCACTTTTGCCACCTGTCACCACACTTGGACCTTTTCACATATGACATAGCCAAAAAAATGAAGGTATTTGCTGCTAATTTAAGTCAATTTAATAAACACAGGAGTTATGTAACTCTTATCAGTCATGTCTACTTTGTAGCCCACAAGTTACATGCAAAGATAGTTATGAATATAGCTCAACAAGAAATCATAAACTTACTTAAAACATTTTGAGATTTTTTAGTTTTTTTTTTGGGGGGGGGGAATTCCAAGACAGGAAGCTGTCCTGGAACTAGCTCTTGTAGACCAGGCTGGCCTGGAACTCACAGAGATCTCCCTGCCTCTACCTCCCAAGTGCACACCACTGCCCGGCTTTGTTGCTTTAGTTTTAAGGTTTATTATAAACTCAAAGGTGTGTGTGTGGGGGGGCGGCGGGAGAGATGCCACTTGAGTTAGGCATGGAGGTCAGCAACATGGGGAACAAGCAGTCATATGGTAGGGAGCGCAGCTTTAAGAAAGAGAAAAATCCCAAAGTACTAAATAAAGTTCCAGAAAACACCCCCAAAATAGGAAAAGTCATGACTGAGTCTAGACTCAGAAAGGCAGACCCAACAGAACCAAATGGTGATACTGGAGTGACTGCCTCATTAGACTTTTTTGCAATATGGTTTGAACAACTATTGGATTCTTGGCCTTTCTGTCATGAGATAGTCACTGGATTATATGGATTATAGCCTGTAAATCATCCAATAAACCTTGTATATAAATATATAATATTCATTCTATCAGTTCTGTTCCCTTAAAGAACCCAAATATAGACAGAGTTTATGTTACAGTATCAAAACGCTGGACATACCTAGGGGTTTAAGCATATATTCCAGATAGAAGGCACATGCATATGTACGCTCACATAAACCATGTTCCACAATGTAGCACACCGATGTGCACTCCCTCACTGGCACAGGGAACACACATGCAACTGCTAAGGCTACTGACATAAATCAGTCACAACAAAATAAAGAAAAGGATGCTCCATCAACTGCAGAAGTTTGGGGATCACAAGCACTATGGTCCAACGGTGCTTCCTACAGAAGCAGTAGCATCCACACTGGCAAGAGCCAGTGAGACTGCCTGAGCATTTCAGTCACAACTCCCTCCAGAAAAGCTGATGCAGTAACCTTTAACACTCACCAAGGCTTTTGGGATATGATTTGACTTTCACACCCACTGTGGCCCAGGTCTTTCATAGTGATTGACTTCTAGTAATGAGAGTATGCTGGAAGGCGCCACTTTGCCCTGCAATTGCTTCATCTATTTGATGCCAAAGAAAAAGAATAGTGCCATCATGCCAGGTACTGGCAGAGCTAAGGAGACCCTGAGCTGATGCTGAACAAAACCAGTCTGTCTGGGGTCCTATGGACAGGGGCCTCAGGTTTGTGCTGGTTAGTGTTTTAGTCAACTTGACACATCTGGGATTACCTGTGAAGAGGAACTCTCAACTGAGGAAAATGCCTCCATAAGACTGGCCTATGGGGCAGGTAGTCCTGGGCTATATATGAAAGCAGGCTGCACAAGCTATAGAAAGAATGCCAGTAAGCAGCACTCCTCCATGGCCTCTGCTTCAGTTCCTACCTCCAGAGTGTCCTCCCTTAAGTTCCTATCTTGGCTTCCCTTGATGATGGACGGTAACCTGTAAACTGAAATAAACCCTTTGCTTTCCAGATTGGTTCTGGTCAGTGTTTTATCACAGCAGCAGAAGGCGAACTAAGACAAGGTCCCAGGCTCAAGTCAGTACCTAGCTCCGCCCTAACAGAGGGTGACAACATAACACTGCCTTGGGGAGTTTCCATACAGGCAAGAACAGGCTAGGACAGCCTTCACACTTACTTAGCCACAGACTGGATGACTTTGGAGGAAGTATCCTTGAGGTTGGTGAAAAGTCGTTCTGTCCCGCCCCGTAGGATGTCGAGAAACCCACCATAGGGCTGGTCATACTCTGCCAGAGCCAGAACTATAGGAAAGAGCCACAGTAGGTCAAGAGTATGTCACCAAGAAGCCTCATTGCTTCCCCTGATTCCCTCAAATCCACCAGTGAGCCATCTTTCCCACTAGCAGGTGCTAGCCTGTTGTTTCCAGTCATTTCAGAGACCCAAGAAATAGGCAGTGTGGCACAGAGGCTATGAACACGTCAAACCCAGCTTCTTCCTGGAACTATACCAACTGCGAGACACTGTCTCAAAATGGTAAGTGCAGGACATGATACCCTTTCTAAAGTGAGTGCAGGTGAAGCCCACAAAAGTGGACTCTGAGACCACAGAATGACACTCTCAAAGACTGTGGTGGTAGAGCTAACACAGATGTGACTTAAGCTCTGAACAGCCCCACAAATAGTAAGCCCACATAGCATGACGTAAACGTAAACACACTGAGAGCCCACTCTTCATGGTCTACAACTGTACCACATGTGTTGGGTACAGAGTAAGACCCTCAAGTACCAGGGCACTGAGAAGGCCAATCACTGGAGACAAGAACCTCCTCTCTAGGAAACAAAGATCTAGAGAAGGACTCAAGTTAGTCCTTGACATCAAAAAGAGGAGATTAGAAAATGGCTCATCCCACAGTCAGTCTTTGACCATTATCTGTTTCAGAGTTCTCCTTTCTCTCATTGGTGCTCTTAAGGTGGCCACTCCACATGAGATGGCTTGGCTCTCTCAAACCAGCAGAATATCCCTCAACCCTTCCTAATTGCACCCAAGCTCCTATGACCCCATCTCTCTGGGTCTCTCCTCCCAGTAGGCACCTCTAGTGCTCTGTGACCTTAAGGTATTATCTGCCAACCTTGTCTAAATCAGGTTTAGCCTTGATACTCAATTTCTGTGAGGCACCCTGGGAAGGCTTTGAACTATACAGATGTCTTGGACATGGTGTAACCTCCAGAGGAGCTAGAGACTATGGTCAACCATGCCCAGAAGACTTATTTCATTATATCCCGAAGGGCAGGTGAATTAACCCTTGCTTTGTCTCATAGGAGTTATATTAGCACTTCACAAAGCAAGGGTGGCTCCAGGCTGGGTTCTCCTGGATCTTGCCCTGACAACCCCATCCCTTGGTTGATTTGAATCCAAATACCCTGTCAAATTCTGTATTCTACCCTGAGCACAATGGCTCAAAAGAACTATGAGTTCCTTAGAAGGGTAGACCCAATTGCCAGCTGAAAACACCCAAGGAACAGGGTTTTGATATCTGTTCTGATGCATACTAAGTACCTGGTAAACAACCTATGGGAAAAGACTAGTGGTTAGGCTGGAGCACTTACCTCCACTGTAACTGCTATTCACAGGGCCCCCCGGAGGGGGTGGTGCCCGGGAAGGCCCTGAGTTCCCATAGCCACCATTCTGTTCCAGCAGCTATAAGATTCAAAAGCATGGCGTTAGCTTCATACAAAAGCCAGAGCTAGTTTACACCTGCACTTAGCATTGTGCCCTCAGCTGATAAACTGCTCTATCTGCTCTATCTGCTTTACTCTAACATGCAAGGATAGTAAGTTCCCAGGAGTCTTAGCAGGGATAGAAATAAAACTTCCATTCATAGCTCTACAACAACATTCAGGGTAACCTAGGGAGTAACATCAGACAAATGCTGACACCCTTATCCAAATCTTTATGGACACAGAATCCATTCTTCCTACTTCATTTCCTCCCTAATCTACTGAATCATCTTGAGTAGATGCATCAGGCATGCAGCCCAGAACCCAAATATCTGTGGTCTTAGTGCTGTGTATGGCTCCTCCAACAACTCCTGGGACCAAGCTTGCATTATTCTTTGAACTCAGCCCACAGTTAAGTGTGCATGGGTTCTCTAAGCACTAAAATCATAAAACTCTTGACTCTTCACTGGCCAGCAGCACTTCTTCCCTGATACACTATGAAGGACAAGGCCCACAGTCCTGCTTCCTACCTTCCAGTGGCATCCAAGACAGCCAGCAAACACTCCTTCAAAGGCCCCAAGTAACAGGAGAGGCCCCAGGTAGCCTTGCCACACAGCAATCCCCCAATGCCTTTTTTGTCCTTCTGACCTATTACTATCAATCTCATCAACCAAAGAAACTTGTCAAAAGCATCCATACCATCAACGGGCCATCCTCAGAGCACCTGAATTCCTAAAACTTATTGTTCTTAGTTTTGGGATCTCTCCAGTGCCAATAGAAAGGGTCTTCTCAGCAGGTTACCCTCTTCTATCCACTACTTCTCTGAAGACCCCTATCTACAGATGAGGACTCAGACCAGTATCTCCAAACGTCCTCTCTTCCACATTGAACCCTTCCTACCCTTCAGCAGCATAGACCTTAACCACCCTGATAACCAGTCCAACATCAATAGCCCCTGGGAAGCTTCTAGGGGTGAAAAGATCATCAACAGGAAGCAGACAAAACTAGAACCAGGCATTTAGTTTTTGCAGAGTGATTCAGAAGAGGCCTCACCTCAGGAATGAACTAGAAGGTAGGACAGCAGAATCTGGCCTGGCCATGAGCTGTGCACAGCAAAGTAGACATGGATGTTGGATTCTTGGAGATGCCCAGGGACCTGTCTAGGTATGGGCTAGACTTATGGCTGCTTTAAGAAACCCTCCTGTTTTCTTGGACTGCCTGCTTTTAACAAGTACACAGCACAGGTGCCTCAGTCCAACAGCCCATAAGGCAGAGTACTGCCAGCAACTATATGCACTAGCCCTGTGCTAAGCCTGGGGATGAATGCAACCACAAAGCCATGGGTGGGTGCATATCCCCAGAAACTTTGAGATGTAGATAGTAACAAACACCATCTGAACCCAGAAGAAAAAAAAAAACCGAGACCAAACAAAAAAAACCTATTAGATGGTATGATAGAGCCACTCTTTTAGCTCATTTGATTGATCTGAGCCAGGACCCACAGGAGCTCCTGTTGTGGTAGCCATGAGCCTGTGAGGGTCTGTAACTTCAGTTAGACCAGATGAAGGAGCCTCAGGCTAATGCCAAGAATACATAACACTGCTGGGCAGTGGTGGCACACACCTTTAATCCTAGTACTTGGAAGGCAGAGGCAGGCAGATATCTGTGAGTTCAAGACTAGCCTGGTCTACAGAGCGAGTGCCAGGACAGGCTCCAAAGCTTCAGAGAAACCCTGTCTCCACCCTCCACCCCCCCCACACACAGAATATACAATACCTTAAAGATCTAGGCATAAACAGTAGAGCCTCATGATATCTTTACCTCTGTGATAGGGGCCTTGGGGTTCACATTCCTGGCTGCTGCAATTTCCTGAAGTTGTCGGACCACTTCAGCAATGGACAGTCTCTCCTCTGGGTTGACCTTTAGCATGGCACCTAAGGCAAAACAATGACATAAATTAGACCCACATCACCTACAGCCCTAGGCCTCAGCTTGACAGCGCCACCTGCTATTGGAAAGGTGACAGAACAAAGATCATACACTTTACCCATGGTGCTGACTTCAGAAGCAAAGAAGAGAATACCAGAACGACCACAAACATTAAACAAGTCTATCAGAAGTGGCCACTCAGAATGCCGTAAGCTCACCAAAGGGGTGGGCAGGTAGCAGCTCCATGGAAAAGCCCCCACTAGAATGCTGTAAGAACAGCAGCTGCGGAGGCAAATGTGGGACCACGTGGCTAAGGGGTGAGCAGCACCTAAAACCCAACAGGGATGCTCACCTCCTCAAGTTTCTGAATCAAGCAAATTCATAACAGGAACTTACGAATAAGGTCATGAAAGACTGTGTAACGAGTGTCATTCACAGGGATGGAGTACTTTCCGTTGACTATCCGAAGTTTTGCTCCATCCTCAAAAGGATGCTGCCGGAAACACAGCAGGTATAAGATACAGCCCAGTGCCTGTGGGGAAAAAATGGAGAGAAGGGTCTGAGGGACAGATTAAAGATGGAATGAGAACACGCAGGGAGAACAGAGGCTGAGTGCTGAGGATGGGGAGGGATTGTGCAAGGGACAAAGAGCACAGGCTCAACACAGACCAGCAGGGAGAGGTTGAGCAGGGACCCAGGAGACAAGGTCATCAGCAGAGGGGTACAAAAGAACTACCCCTTCTTGGTGACCCTTGGAGGGCACCAACCAGGCTGCTGTCCTTTGTTGGTTTGAATGAGTCACACACGGGTTACGACATATTATTTTAAAAAATGTCAACTTAGGGGCTGGAGAGGTGGTTGAATGGCTAAGAACAAATATTACTCTTCTAGAACCCAAGTTTGGTCCCCTACACACATGCCTGGTACCTCACAAACACCTGTAACTCCAGTTCCAAGGAGATTTAATGCCTCTGGCCTCTTCAGGCACCAGTACTTACATGCACCCAACTACCCTCAGACACACACATACACATAATTTAAAATTTAAAAAGTCATCCTGGCACGATAGGCCAGTGACAGAAATTCCTTCCATGGGAAGCTTCCCACACCTTCCACAAAGAACTTTCTAGGTTTTAGCAACAAGTCCTATGCTCTTGCTATTCAAATCAAAAGGCTCCCTTCAAAATTGCATGGTTCCTACTCAAACACAGGGGTAAGATGGGTAAGCACCCTGAGAAGCTCACTATATAAGGGCATAGCAGATGTTAAGGATTGAGCTCCATGCAGATAATTGCCACAGAGTGGGCAGTGTGAAGGGCATAAAGGCAAGCTGGGGGTTCCCACAGACCCGACCTCCTCTTATGGTTTGTTCTACTTACCATACCCAACAGTGAACAGGGGGTAACTGAAATATTGGGATTTTATCCAAAGACAATAGCATATATAGGACACCTAGATGTATCTAGATGTGTGCTGAGAATACTCCAGGGTGGACCAAGAAATTAATGAAGATGTGTCTTCATTAGTGGCATTAGCACTGGCCCCTATAAACTTCAAATACCTAAGTCCTTGACAGTGTCTGGGGGGCTGATGATGCCACCACTGTCACTGTCCCTAGGAAATGATGGCTCTGGTCACAACAAGGAGAGCCCAGCTCAGTGTGTAAACAGGGGTCATGTATAAAATAATATATTTAATCTTCTTTATTTCCTACCATATAACTCCGAAAATCCTTGGGACTGCTGATTGCTGGCCACCTGTATGTAGCTTCAGGATGGGGCACGTCACGAGAAACACCAAGACAATATCAGGATCAGAGACCTCAACCTCTGAGAGTACAGAGGAAATGAGGGTTAAGCTGACTGACAATGACCAGTGTTGTAATCAACCATGAGGTCGCCACAAAATATAAATGCCAAGATTCATGGGAGCTCCTAAACAGGGGAGCAGATAGAAGATCTTAGAGGGTGGTGCATTTTGGTAGAGTAGTGAGGCTCTTACCTACTGTCCTACAGGTTCTATGAATCCCTCCATCATTATCGGTTATAATATCCTTTACAACTAGTAAATGTACATTAAGTGTGTCCCTGAGTTTTATGAACTGTTCTAGGAAGCTAATCAACAAACCCCCCCCCCACACACACACACAGGGGGTTGTGGGAAGCCAGACTTGTTAGTCCATCAGTAGCAGAGGCAAAACAACCTGTGATAACTCCTGGTGTCAAGAAGGGGCGGAAGTGGGCATGTTGGGCTGAGCCTCACCCTGTGGTGACCTGAAACCACATTTGGCAAACAGACAGCATCAACTTGTTAGCAATGACTTGGCCTAAGAACACCCCAGGGATATCTTTTTGGAAACCGAATGTTTACTGTACAAGGGGACAGACCTGAGGTCTTATAGGTCTCCTCTGTCAACTGTACTGGTGTGAAAGAAAAGTGGATGCCTATGGCAGATGAGGATATATCCCCAGAGATGGCATTAGGTATCCTTGCAGAGACATCCCTGGGACTGGAATTCAAGACTCCAGAAGTAGAACACGTGTAGAAATTGTCTGTACTACCATATGATGCCTGTGCAGAGTCAAGGGCATGCTCTATTATTTTCTTTGAAGATTTACTTATTTTATGTGTATGAATGTTATGCTTACATGTAGTCTGTGCACCATGTGCACGCCTTTTGCCCTTGGAGGTCAAGAGGACTTTAGATCACCTGGGACTGTGGAGTTATAGATGATTGTGAGCCAGCATATGGGCATTAGGAATTGAATCTGGGTCCTCTGCAAAAGGAACAAGTGTTCTTAACCACTAAGCCATCTCTCCAGCCTCCCCTCATCCAATTGCTCTGTTAATTCACCCCTGGTAACAGTCACAAGTGATATTTGAGAAAACGAAGGTGAAAGCAGGGAAAAGAATGAGAGAAGGAGTTGATGGGCCTAAGACAGACAGACAGGCTAGAGGTCTCTGCAGCTCTAACAGTGACCTAACTGACTCGGCACCAGCATGAGCAGCACTCAGGCCTCACCCAGATATCCTGTTTCTCGCCAATGGGGAAGTTGGAATACAGGTCTACAATTTCTGGTGTTCTGTACATGGGTGTGGTATTCCTCGTGATCTAAAGAAAACAAACATTACAGGGTAAGTTACACATCAGCATTATCTTTTGCTTTACACACAGGCCCTACAACTCTCTAAGCTCTCTACTAAAGGCTAATGGCAGTGACTTTTCCTCCCACTGTGTTCTGGAAGGACCTCTGGCCATGCAATGCTGCACCACCACTTTCCTCACAGAGATTGTAATCTCTTATGGCCACCAGGATTAATGAAGGAATCAAGTCACAGTATTCACCCACTGGACTATTTCATTTCTTTGAGGTAAATATATTGACCCTGGCATGAGAAACCTCTTTCAGAGTGATCAAAGAGGCCAGCTAACATGCTGTACTAAAAGAAGCTTCCAGGTGAGTTCTAGTGGGGGACATGAGTCTGTATAACCCAAGAAACAGTGAAGTCTGGTCACATTTAAAAACTGAGAGCCAAGAGCTGGGTTAGTTAAGTGCTTATTGTACAAGAATCAGGCCCTGAGTTTGATTCTGAGAACACGCATTTAAGGAAAGCTGGTATGGTGGCAAGAGCTTGTAGTTCCAAGAGCTGGGGAGGATGAGACAGATCTTTGGGAATTTCTGGCCAGCCAGCTTAAACTAATCAGTGAATTCCATGCCAGTGAGAGACCCCTTCTTAAACAACAAAGTGGATGCCTCCTAAGGAATAACTCCTGAACTTGTCCTCTGGTCTCCATATACATATGCATATGTGTGTACTCACATATACATGAACACATACAAAAGCATATTCACATATATATGCATACAAAACTGAGACTTTCTAGACCCCCAGGAATACACCCTGTGGTGGTCTGAAAGAAAATGGCCCCCAAAGGGAGTGGTGCAGTCTTGCTGGAGGAGACAGACTTTGAGATCTCATATATGCTCAAGATGCTGACCACCCCCCCACACACACCACTGTCTCAGATCACTTACTGTTGCCAGCATCAAGTCTGCCTCAACACTGCCACTTCCCACCATGTTGATAATGGACTAAACCTATGAAACTATAAGCCAGCACCTCAACTAAATGTTTTCCTTTCTAAGAGCTGCTGTGGTCATGGTGACTCTTCACAGCAATAGAAACCCTAACTAAGACACACAACATGGGGAATTCATAGCAAACTCACACACCAATCCCCAGACTATGATTCAAACAAGAGTAAGTCAACATGCTTTGCACACTGCAGAAAGGTACCAAGGCCTCAGACAGGCAACGGCTTCTTAGAAAGTGGAAAGCCAACATGAGAGGCCTCCCTAAGGATGACAGGGAAATCTAGGCAAGATACAGTTCCAATCAGAGCCTGCAGGAAGGTGTAAAACACCATGGATCCAAGAGATGGAGAGAGATCAGAAGAAGAGTGGACAAAAGGTCAGGCCAGAGGCAATGTAAAGTGCACTGTGGCCAACAAAGGGCCAACACCAAGTCACATAAAAACTTGATTTGCATACACTTTAGAGCACTGACCCTTCAATCCAGAAAGCTCATTCCCTCCCAGGTGTCCACTCTGAAGGCCCATCTGGTACAAGGACACATGGTGGCTGCTCATGCAGACCTGTTGATTCTGACAGCATACTGAAAACAGCATGAGCAATAGACGCACAGATGAAGACACACTGGGATGCACAAAGCTACAGAAATTGAGTGAACTAAGGCAGACTCACTTCAGCAGAGTTCAGGAGGCAGAAAATAAACACAAACCCAAAAAGAGCCCCAAAGGGTCAAATAAAAGGGTAACTAGCTCTGCCCAGTTCTGAATAAAGAGGCCTAGATGCAAAAATACTCAATAAGATCTAAGAAGCTGTTGTGAAAAGGGACATGACAATTGCTCTGGAAATACCGTTAAGTAAACGCAAATACACTAAAAATGAGTAAGGACCACACAAAGGAGAAAATAATCCTAGGGCTGTCTGGACAATATGTCTATTCAATACACAGAACTTGGGAACAGAAGTCAAAACAACCCCAAACTTTCAGTAGATTCTTTATGCTGAGGGAACGTGATTCTGAGGCTGACCGGGGAACAATCAGATTGTAGACAGGATGGCTCTTACTCAAGATACATTTGGGTGAAGGTGCTGTGCAGATCTGTAGTTGCTACTCTAAGAATGGATGTGTGCTCATCTGAACAGCTGCTTGCATGCTGTAAATAAGTACATCTACTTAGAAGGCCTAGACACAAAGGCCCAGCAGTGACCAACACACTTGTGATATGACCAGAGTCTCTATTCCTTTCTCATCCCAAGGCAGTGATACTTCTCAGACAAGGAGCTGATCCAAGGGCCAGAGCAAGGTAGGACTGTGGTTGCCCCAAACCTCCTGTATCATGAAGATACAAGTGCTCCAAAACAATGGTGTGTCAGTCCATTTTTCCATTGCTAATAACACAACCCCACAGGCTGTGTAAACTATGAGAAAGGAGGTTTCTTTGATTCATGATTCTGGTTCTCAACCTATATGCGGTATCAGTCTTTTTTTTCTGGCACTGTCCTAAGGCAGCACAGGTTACCACATAGCAGACAGAAGTAATGTCCATGTATCTTCTGGTCTCTCTTTTTTAGAAAGCCACCAAAATTCAAACACTGGGCTCCATCCTGAAGACCTTATTCAATCCTAATCCATTCTAAAAGGGTCCATTTCTAAACACCATAGTTGATTTAAGATTCCACACTATGAATACCTCACAATGAAGATTAAGGTCAGTGTAAGTCTGGAAAAAACAAACCATATTAAAGCCATACCAGATGGTAAATGTCAAAAGAATCCAGAGACTTGTGAAGCAAATCTGGGACATTTTCCCACCAAAACAAAGACATACTGAATCGTGACCATGGGAAAAATGGTATCCAAGTCCTTATGAATAACAAATACATGAGTTTCAAGTTTTGGGGCTCCCACTTGATTGATAGGCACCATACTACAGCCAGTAGCAGACAGCAAGAGTCACCACCACTGCAGGACACCAGAAGCCAGGAGGAATGAGTCGAGCTCTACACACAACAGATGGGCATAATGAAGGGGTGCGGGACTGGAAAAGGATAATTCAGCAAAAGGAACTGGACTGGATTGATGATCCAAATAAACCCTGACCTAAATGGTTTTCATTACTCATCGTGGTGGCGGCTGACAACTCTGACACACTGAATACACAGCAGGCTACGAAGTGGGACAAACACAAACAGCAAGGGCAGGGCTTTCTTCCTAAGCTCTGGTCAGATTCTTCTTGAGCTTCAAACTCTTTAACCGTGGGGGATTATGAAGCCTCATATGGAATCTAGCATGATCTTTGCAAAGATGAGGAGCCACTTGGTCCAACAAGCATGGCTCTGATGTAATTTATTGCTAAGCAATAAACACAATTGTCCCTGACAGGCATTATGCTAGGGTAGTTATGCCTCTTCCTCCACAGATGCATCCCTAGGAAGCAAGTGTCCCACCATGAAAGACAACCTGGCCTTGAAGCAGCCTCACCTGGCAGCACCCGACAGTCTAGAAATGTGGACCACCTTTCAGAATCACGGTCCTTCTACAGCAGGAGTGGTCCCTCACAATCCCTTACCTATCTTTACATTTTGGGACCCCTGCTGAACACTGTAGCTATTCCTCTGCTCTGTACTGTTTTGTACATGCAGTTCATGTAAAATTCTAAGAAACGCTAGCCACTATGGAATTATGTATATATTTTGAGGATGCAGCCTCTCTGCAGGAACGGGAGCCATCTGAACTAAGCTGCAGGTCTCTCAACAAAGAATATTTCTAAATAATTCTTTTATGCTGGGGATTGAATCTAGGACCTTGCTTATCCTAAGCAAGTGTTCTATCTTTGAGTCACATCTTTGGCTGTCTAAATGACTTAAAAAAATTCTAAGTTTAGAATGACAGAAAAGTTCTGGAGACAGCTGCACAATAATGTATCCTTTTCTCTTTAAGATTTATTTATTTATTATATATACAGCATTCTGTCTACATGTATGCCACAAGCCAGAAAAGGGCACCAGATCTCATTATAGATGGTTATAAGAAACTATGTGGTTGCTGGGAATTGAACTTAGGATCTCTGGAAGTGCTCTTAACCACTGAGCCATCTCTCCAGTCCTAATGTGTGTATCTTAATGCCACTGAAATCTGACTTAAAACGTTAAAATATAATTTGTTATACGTATTTAAGGCAAATAAAAATAATTCCAAGAAATCAACAGGATGAAGACATTTAAAGGCAGGTTGAGAAGAAGAGCATGAGATCAAATGAATTCTCCATTCTGTTTAAATCTATGGCCACAAACTAGCTGAGTGCAGCCAGGAAGAAGATGATGCTTCCAGAATACAGCATCAGGGAATCTGTTAGGAATCTTCATATATAAAGCCATACTCAGACTGGTACCTAGAGACTCAGAGGGGACATAAAGGGAACGACAGGGAAAGGAACTGAGAAGCAATTTCCTAAGAGTGCAGACTCAAATGAATGTCTCACCTCTTCCTCCACCATTGCTCGCTTCTGGGCACTCCAGCTGTAGTCAGGATAATGGGAGATGGTTGTGGCACTGCCAAAGTCACACAGCTTAATGGTCCCCTGGTTGCTAAGCAGTAAGTTTTCAACCTGCAAAATGTCAAAGGAGGTTCTTATGAACTTAGTGTGTATACAGAGCCTAAACCTCAGCAAAGACAAACAGGGATATTAGTCATGATCAGTTCCTTGTCAGGAAAACCCTCTGCACCAAGGTCTAGGCTGCTGGTTGTTAGGGGCCACTATAAATTTTCTTAAAGCTAAAACCACTTACCCAGCAAACAGATAACCTAATTAAAGACAATGAGTCTTCCGAAAAGTTAGAAGATAAAGAATAAAATATGCTACTTATATCTACATTAATTTAGGAATAAATCTAACAAAGACAGACAAAAGACTTCAAAAAAGTAAAAAAAAAAAAAGGCTTCCTGTGCAGAAGGCCTTAAAATAATTGTTTTTTGTTTTTTTTTTTTAAAGATAGGGTCTTACTACGTAGCCTTGGTTGGCTAGGAACTCACTATGTAGATCAGGCTGGCCCTGAATTCACACAGATCTACCTGTCTCTGCCTCCTAAATGCTGAGATTAAAGGCGTGCACTACTATACCCAGCACAATTTTAAATCCATGACTCATAAAATTACATGCAATCCAGTATTCCAGTCCATAGCTTTACTGGCATCCCATTCCTCCTTCTAGGTACATTAAGTGTCCTGTGCATTCATCAGAGTAGAATGTCCTAACAGAGGTCAGCCAGCCACCTTCCATTCCTAGTCTAGCTGTCTGCTGACAGTCTGTCAACCATGCTGAAGAGTCATAGCAATTCTAATAAAAGTCAGAGTTTAGCCGGGCGTTGGTGGCACACACCTTTAATCCCAGCACACGGGAGGCAGAGGCGGACGGATCTCTGTGAGTTCGAGACCACCTGGTCTACAAGAGCTAGTTCCAGGACAGCCTTCAAAGCCACAGAGAAACGCTGTCTCAAAAAACAAAAAAACAAAGATGGGAAACCTTGGGCTGGAGAGATGGCTCAGAGGTTAAGAGCACTGGTTGCTCTTCCAGAGGTCCTGAGTTCAATTCCCAGCAACCACATGGTGGCTTACAACCATCTGTTGTGAGATCTGGTGCCCTCTTCTGGTGTGCAGATAGACATGGAAACAAAATGTTGGATACAAAATAAATAAATAAAATCTTAAAAAAAAAAAAAAGTCAGAGTTTTAAGGAGGTAGGAACCTATAAAATGAAAATGCAAAAAAAACAACAACAACAACAACAAAAAACTATAGCTACTTGTAAGATCTGTCAACGTTGAAGCATATGTAATAAGACAAGCTGGTAAAGGGAAGTACTATGGAGCTCGTGTGCCTTCAGAACACCCAGGATTAGATGCCTGTAGCTTCCAATCACAGAGGTTACTTGCTCCATAGATGAGCAATATGGGACTATTCTCAAGACACAGGCCAGCAGAGTCAGCTACAAAAAAGGGAAGTAAAACAGATGTGCCACCCTGTCCACAGCAAAGGGAAGGATACATACTAAGAAAGACTCACAATGAATATTCCATGAGATAAAAGGCTCCACGGAAATACAGATGGATCTAACATAATGCTGAGCAAAAAAACAGGCACAAAAGAATGTGTAGGTACAGGTACATTCAAATGACACACACCACCACAGAAAACAAACTGTGTAGCATCAAGGAAACCAAGAACAAGAACCCTGAAAGCAGGCAGTGTCTGCTGCACAGTCAGATATGCCATACAAGAGGTACATAGAAACACTGATGCGCCTGTGTCATAGCAATCAATGACTAGGGGGAGCCAGCTCTTGGTGCTCCTGAAGCAGAAGGCTACAGACTTCACCTGTGCAGATACCTCAGTGGGCAGGTGACTGATTCTCCCCTAATTTTATTCTTTATATTAATTTTTTTCTAACACACATCTACCTACCACCACCACCAATAACATCTACCACACTGTCTTCAAGCATAAATAAATAAAGTATTTATTTTGTGTAAAGAGGTCAGAGAACAACTTTTGAGAGTCAGTTCTCTCCTTTGACCACATGGAGCCTGAGAATCAACTCAAAGTTGTCAGGTGTGGTTGTTTAAATGAGAATGGCTCTATGGGTATATATTTGAATGGTTGGTCCCTAATTGGTGGAATTGTTAGGGAAGGGTTAGGAGGTATGACATTTTTGGAGGAGGTGTGTCACTGATGGTGAGCTATGAGGTTTCAAAATCCTATGTTACTCCCAGTCTTGCCCCAATACCACCTCTGCCTTCAACTTGAGGACCAGGATATAAGTAAGTTCTTAGTTTCTGTTCTAGCATCACGCCAGCCTGCCTGCCTTCCTGCCGTCATGCTCCCTGCCATGATGATCATGGACTCACTCTCTGAAACTCTAAGTAACCCTCCCAACTGAATGCTTTCCTATAGCATTATTGATTTGGTCATGGTGTCTCTTCACAGCAACAGTAAAGTAACTAAGAAATCAGGCTGGGTAGAAAATGCCTCCACTGCACCAATCCAGTTTCAGATTTTTTTTTTTTCAAGGACACAACAGGGCAATGAATACTAGGCTATGGCAATACTACTTTAAAGGTTTTGTTCAATAATATACCAGGAATCCCAGTGAGCCAAATACATAAGTAAAGGCAAAAGAATAAGGAGAAAAAAAAAGCAAAATAAAAAGAAACTTAAGAATAAGGTGCTGGTAGCTATAAATACTCAACTTCATTAATAACAGGAAAAGGTGAAATAAACTCATATGGTTATACTCCTCAACCAAGCTACACCAAGTACACGCAGCAATTCAGACAGGCAGGTGCCACTCTCAGTTAGGCTGTGGTACATTCACGATACCCACAGTTGGAGATACACAACAGAAGCCTTTCCATGTAAGTGATTGCCCACCAAGGTCAGAACTGCACCTGGATGGCCACAATTCTGTGAGCAAAGGCAACTGAGAAGCTTAGAATGCCTGGACAACAGCTGAACAGAAAGCACTGGGCTCTGAGCAAGCATGAGGGGCACAAAGACTAGCAGGGAGTTGTCCCAAGGTAGGAGAACGGAGTGTGAAGACATGCAGCCAGGAATGCAACCCAGCTGGTACCTTGAGGTCCCTGTGGATGATGGGTGGTTTCTGCCTGTGCATGTGCTGCACTGCTCTGCATGTCTGGTAGAAGATCTTCAGAATGCTGTCGCAGGACAGAGGGCCTTTACAGTCAACTTTCCTGAGAAACTCCACCAGCTGTCCTAAAGGAGACAAGGGAATTTAGTCACCCTGAGGCTCAGAATGCTATACTTGACTTGGTAACAGGTTTGGTTTGTCTCTGTGTATGACAGCCCAGGCAGGAGTAGCATTTCTAAGGCCTTAGTCAGGGTGCATACCCAATCAGTACCACTCTAGGCATTCCTAAAACTTCTCTAGCAAGACAAATAAAAGGGGGTCTCTATAACTTTGGGTATGAGGGAAGGTAGGGGCAGGAGATGGCTTGGAACATCCCTGGGACAAAACAAGAAGCAAAAACAATCATGAGAAAGCTTTGAAGGCAGGGTAAAAGTTCTAGCAGTTAGACAGAGGCAGTGACCAATGTCACTGAAAGAATGATCACAAAGAAGAAGCTCTAGGCTCATATCTACAGCACAGCAGAGGCAGAGCAAAAACCCTGACCCTCACTACAGTTCCTCACCACAGTTTCTCTAGTCCAGAACTACATCATGCCCTGATGGCAGCTCCATTCTGACTTATTACTCCTGCAGAATTAAACCATTACCTGGTCCCACCACACTCGACTTACAGAACCTACACAAATTCAGAGAACAGTGGTCCTCTAAAGAAACAGGGACCCTGGTGAATCAGGGGCAGACTCCAAAGGGCAGGAGCAGATATGTCCACCTAAGTTCTATGTCAGACTGATTATAATGTTAATTTTAACTGGTCCATTCAATAGTTCATTCTTGATAAGAATTAAGAGATTTTTATTGTTTTGAGACAGGGTTCCAAAACCTTGCCAACTCCTACTTAACTTTCTGAATGCTAGGATTACATGTGTATGCCACTACAATAAGACACAAGACTATTTTAACATTTATTTATTTGGGAGAGATGGCTCAACCGTTAAGAGCACCTACTGCTCTCAAAGGAAACTTTGGTTCCAGTATTCACTTGGTGGTTCTCAACCATCCATAACTCCAGTTCTAGGGATCTGATACTCTCTTCTGACAATCATGGGTGTCCCTGAATGGAGGCCCAGTAGGGAGGCCACTGCATGAAGCTATGAACTTGAAGCCTGGATTGCCTTGGAGAACCCAAGATATTAGAGATGCCAGAGCCATGGGATACCTGCCGAGGAGAGCTGCTAACAGGGAGCAGAACCAGCCCAAGCGAAAGAAGTGTGTTGTAGTTTATAGAACTGAAAGGAGTTAAAGATCTGAAGAGCATTTTTTTTTTTTTTTTTTTTTTGAGTCAGGTTTTCTCTGTGTAGCTTTGTAGACCCCCCTGGCCTTGAACTCAGAGATCCACCTGCGTCTGCCTCCAGAGTGCTGGGATTAAAGGCGTGCATTCTGACATCAGATATGGATGTAGAATTTGGAGTTTCCCCAGCTGGTTTTTGGTCTTGCTTTGGCCCAATATTTCCTCACTATGTCCCTCTTTCTATATTTTGGAATGATAATGCATATCCTGTGCCACTATATGTTGCAAGTATGTGATTATAGTTAAGAGATTGCATGAATCTCAGAAGGGACTTAGAACTTTGGACTTTAAAACATTGTTGAGACTGTGATAGACTATGGGGACTTTTGAAGTCGGACTAAATGCATTTTGAATTATGATATTGTTACAAGCTTTTGGGGGCCAGGGAGTGGGATGTGGTAGTTTGAATGTAATTGGCCTCAATAATCTCATAGGGAATTTTTAAAATAGGTATGGCCTTGATGGAGGAAGTGTGTCACTGTGGAGGTGGGCTTTGAAATTTCCTATGCTCAGGATATTATCCAGTATCTCAGTCGACTTTCTGTTGCCTGCAAGATGAAGGACACAGAGCTATTACTATTCAAGCACTGCACGCCACCAAGCTCCCCATCATGATGATAATGGACTAAACCTATGAAACTGTAA